CTAACACTATCTCTGTGTGTTCATGTTCCTTCTATAATTAAGATAAAATAATCTCAAGCTGATGTAGCTTCATCTGCAATATACGACGACCATGTTTCTGTTACGTTTGCGTCATCTCTCCTCTCAAGAGATTGTTATTCTCCCGTATTGTCGAATTACCCGCTCGATTGAATTTGCCTTTAACGAGAGCCCCTAAAGGAACGTTATTGTTTAAATAAATGTCGCACGTAGTGAAGGGAGAAATGTTTTTGCTAAGAGAACGCGTCCGGTTTCTTAAATAGATCAGGATAGATATTCTCGGGTTAAAGGTTAAAATCACAGGTAGAATGTCGGGGGTTTCTGCAGGTGTTCGGTGTATACGTCGCGAACACCGGCGCCACGGTGACTCCAGTGGAAAATCAATAACCTAGCGTTGTGTGTGTGTGTGTGTGTGTGTGTGTATATATATATATATGGGTGTGTACGTATGTGTATGTACGTATATGTGTGTATGCCCTGTTCATCTTACCTTCGGCCGTTGCGACGGCGATGCCTTGCTTATAGCTGGGTCTTTTGTGGACGACAGCGAACCGAGTTACAAACGCGGGCCGTTTCAAGTGCGACTTAATTTGCATAGCGCGCCGATTAGACCGGATCGTTTTGTGTATCCTGTTATAGGCTGACTTAAAAATAGATGCAAAGCTAAGAAGTCATCGTGGCGCTTATCTGCGCGCGATTCGCTCGATAGAGACAAAAATACGTAACAGCGAGATTCTGTGAAGAACAATGATGACGCGCGCTTTGCTCTTCTTGTTGACGCAATAGTGATATTAAAATCCCTCGGAGATACTTGTGCACTTTTAATCGTTATGTAACAACTAATAAAAAGAATTTCGACGCTTTGCACACTTCTTGACGAGGGATACCTTTTCAAAAGAGATTAACACTTGAGATAATACATTATTGAAAAAGCAAGCGCACGGATAGCGGATTTGTAGGATGACACGGAAATGTCGAACGATTGGATTGTATATTTGCCGATTGTAGAGAGACCTTCTAGAATTCCAATTTTCGCGATTATCTCCTCAGACGTCATGTGACTATTATGTGCTCTCAGTAAAGTTGCTTGACTGTTATCTCCGGTCGCTCATTCAAGGTTTCTATTCGTATAATCCAGAATTTTCAATATTATCTGGTCCGTTTTGTTGACTGTTATTCAAAGACTACATTTTCCGTAGTCTCTTGTATGACGCGCTCCGATTTGTACTTTCGATTATTATTCTTTTATTTTACTGTGAATTTGAAATACACAAAAAGGGTTAACGCTGACGATTGATTTCTTGATTGCGATTTGTACTTTTCTTTCTCTCACCGAGTAGCGATGACGTAATTTTTCCCTAGGGTAGAAAAATGAAAAGTGAAGATTTTAAAATGCTTTCAAATGAGAAAATTTGCATTTTCCATGCTAGAAGAAGAGATTCTCGATCGACTTCCAATGAGTCATGAATCTTTTCCTCTAACGTGAACGTGAGATTAGATTGAGGCGTTTTAAAATTCTCTCTTGTTTTTTCTTTTTTTTTTTTTTAGTAAACTTTGTAATCATGACAATATGTATCACACTTCGTCGAAGAACTGTAGGAAGTTTTTCGCACCCGCGTTAATGAAAAAAACGGGCTAAGTCCATGACAGAGCTGTAGAAATCCGTCTCGACTCGCGTCAAAGCAATGTGAAGATTCACGGTGCATACAGAGACCAGCTGTTCTCGTCTCGATGCACAATGAGCTTCTTGTTTTCCGTTTTCGCTTCTCCCTGTCAAAGAGGAGTCGTTATGACAGTACATGTACACATACACACACACGTTCCGCACGCGCGATCGAAATTGAGGTGGATCGCCGGAGGTAGTTAATATAGCCTGTTGTTATAAAAATCTCGTCTACACCAACGCTTTCCTCGCGAGCTTCTTTATATACATTCGCCGTCGTATATTCAATGCATCGTCATAATAGCAGAGAAGAAAAGAAAAGAACGGTTGTCCGGTCGGTCCCTTCAGACGTCGCTTTTGCTGAGTTAAACGTGTTCCGAGAACAGAAGAAAAGGAACATGTCCGGGATCATCGAGTTGAACATACGTTACAATCGGAAAGACAAAACACGCAAGTTGCAAAATAAAAAAAAGATAACATCAAAATTTAAACTCTTCGCTATCTTACGCTGTTTTGTCTCAATTTCGGCTTGATCGAGGAAATCTTTAAAATTCTTTTCCATTTACGGTCTTAACCCTTGGACTTGCATGTCTCCGCCTCTCGGGTGCAGAAGTGTAGCAAGTGCTGGCGGTAAACTTAACCTTCCCCGATTATTGTGTCATTCACTTCGTGATTCATTTCACTCCGCCCACCACGATACCAAGGCACTAATCTATACGTTCCCACTACCGCTGATGCCAGCTGCCATTAAGTATGACGGCACTCGCGTAATTGCTCTTAATTCGTCGTAAGTAACCGTCCAGACATTTAAGAATGTCATTCATACTCGCGCGCTTCAGACTTTCGTAGTCGCTCGGACGGGAAGCGTCGATCTCGTCACGAAACGATCTGCTCTCTCTCTGCTCACATCGCGACGACGATACCCCCACGTAGACGATATCGAGAACCTGTTGTACGTTGCGTAATGGATCGTAAAAATCATCGGCGCATCTGGTAGCGTTTTCAGTTCCTCAGGGCATGTTCGCGAATGCGGCGTGTTACCGCGCAGTTATTCCTCTCTGATGTCGCATGTTCATTATTAGACGGCCATATCGGCTTACCGTGGTTTTCCTTGAGTTTTTGCGTGGATGCCCGCATGAAAGTGCACGTCGCGCGTTGCGTTACACCGGTGTGTACGTACGGTCCCTCGAGAGAAAATACCGTCGCGACGTTTATCTTGCGATAACTGCGGCAGAAATCGTTGTACGTTATCAGTTCATTAATCGGTAAGCACCGTTCGCGTCGTCGACCGTTGTAAATTAGACGAAGCGTTTCATCGTGGGCGTCATCCGAAATTATGCCGCCCTGTCTTAATGCTTGAATCATGATGATGACGGAATTTCTCTCTCGGTCTCTCATGGTAAACTAGCGTTGACCGCGAATAGCTATTTGCGCGCGATTAATTTGAAATTTAAATGAGGACGAGAAAATAGTTTAATTAAAAATATAACCCGTGATCTGAATTTACGTTATATCATCTTATGATTAAATTTTCAATTTTATTCTTATAAAATGAAAATTGCAAAATGAATCGTTATAAAATAGAAATTAACAGAGTTTCTAAATTAAAAAATGCGAAATTCTGCTAATCACCATATGTGCAATTATGAGATTGATAGAAAAATGCAGCTCTCGGTCGCATTTTCTTTACATGACGAATTCTTCTTTCAAGTTGCACAGTGCAGCAATATGCACAGGGTGTTTCATAACGTGTGGATATAATTTCGGAAATGAATTCAGAACACAGAAATAGCAAAAAGTTTATATAAACATTTACTGACTTTGTTTCCGAGTCACAGATATTTTCGTATTTCATTAATGCTTGTTAGGTTTATTAATTTTATTAAGTCACTAAATTTAAATCCATCGAATTTTTGCACATACGGCTATTTGAAATCTATGGTTTACAATACAACAATAGACAACGCTGATTCCGCCAGCTTATTGAAGAAGGTTGGCATCGAATCAGAACAACACCCGGAATATTCGAACGTATTAAAAGATCAGTGATAAGACCTTCAGAAGGCTTTCAAACCTAAGGTGTGGTCACTTTCTTTAACTACAGGAGTGTGTGAAGACGCTATGTTAGCTCGGATTGTAACGAGAATTAATGAAACATGAAAACGTCTGTCACGAAACCTCGGAATGAAGGTCAGATAAGACAAATATTTGTATGAACGTTTTGCGTTATTTTTATATCGTGAATTCATTTCTGAAATTATGCCGACGTATTATGAAACAGCCTGTGCATAATTTTATATTATAATATATTATATTTCCAAATATAATTATATATATTTACATTTGTGGAGAGTCGACGCGTAGAAAATATTTAAGCCAAATTATTTACCGTGATATTTTACTTCTCACCGAGATAGCATGTGGCGCATTTTACATAACAAATTAAATTACAAGGCGACCGCGATTCGCGTGCGAAAACCGAAGAAAAAAAAGGAACCGATACGCCAACGACATACGGTATTTCGTGAAAGACGACGCTACGCCAATGTCAGCCGGCGAACATTTACCTTGCCGTTGCTGGCCTTTACACGTCGGGGCCCGGCGTCGACGCCGATGCTATGCGGTGTGTATTTCGCGTGTGTGACATCATTCGCGTGATGTAATCGTTGGTGAGGTGGTAACGTCGTCGAGCGTCTCCCACGCGGCGCGCGCGCGCGGACACGTAAACGCATTTATTAAAACGCAGACACACGTGAAAGAGCGAGCGTATGACTTGCGGCTGGTGTATGTTTAACGGCGCAACGTCACGATGCTTCGTGACACTGTAAAATTCGTACGGTATACCGAAGAAGGCGGAAATAAGCGGAGGAAAGCGTCCCCCTGCACGTTACAATCGGGCGTCGTTACACAACATCGATCTGCGTCTAAAGTCTCTCCCTTGTTCTCCGTTATTTGTTTAATTATTAAGCACCGTTAGACCTCCGCCGTGCAGGTAAGCGGAGAAGATAAGATTACCTTGCAATTCTTATCTGCACGCGGAAAGACCGTCGCGAGCTGTGACCGAGTAAGCTCGCCGAGACACGTTCTGTTTCTGGGCGTTGTTGCTCGCCCGTCGCGAGCGCGTGGGCAGCAGGAGGAAGAGATTCCTATGATTATTATACGTCCTCGTTTATTTTATGCCTGGCTACGCGTCTCTCAGACCCGTGAGATCGAATAGATGCAATGCGTAAAGTAACATATAACGTAATACATAAGGTAATACATCATGTTCGCAGGGGAGAGAACGGATGGTACTTGACGGTACTCTCTTTTGCTTCAGGTGCACCCTTTTAAGGGGTTAGGCAGAAGTGAGCTGTTGGTCTGATTGACAAAATGACGACCGACATCTCGGTGGTGCGCGGGGGTTGGGACCCCACGCTACAACAAGAGATTGTCGACGAGTACGAATACGACGGGGGAAACTCGAGTTCGAGACTTTTCGAGCGCTCACGCATCAAGGCGTTAGCTGGTAAACCGATTAACGTTTTGCATACCGTTTTGTCGCGTTACATTTACGTTACATACGATTAGTGCTTCCCTCTTTCTCTGGTAGGCTCTTTTTACTCCGAAAATTTCCGGACAGGAGAGAGTTTGATTTTTTTTCTTCCACGATGAATACGACGATCTTAATGTTCTGTCTATGTTTGATCTCGAAGAACTATATCGTGATTGCGATGAATGGCTGCTAGAAACTACGGATTGCGTCTAGGAAATTGTACGGCCGAGCTATCAATGCCACATCCTTCTGATAATCGCGCGTAATCAAGAATTTGATAATTTTCAGCATGTTCTCAGCAGTTGTATCTCGAACTAGCTTGAGAATGGTGGTCATTAAAATCGCGCGTGCAATGCATTTTTTAATTAAAAGCGTCAAATACATTCAGAACAGTTGAACCAATTAGTACATTGACCGGATCAATCGACGAGAATAATATAGATCGTTGTTTTTCATGCGTTTAAAAGTGAGAATCTACAATATCTACAATAAACATCTCGAAACATCGCGGTGTTTGAAAGATGGACTTTGATAAAATAGTGCTCGATCTTCGAGGTAATCTTACATTAATTGTTTCTCGAGTCTGTCTCTCTATTAATAGAATGTAATTATTCATGATTCATATCAACCACGCGTAATTTAATTACGCCTGAAATCAATAGCAAATAAATAATACGCTCGCGCTTGACGAAGCGTCGACCGACTCGCTCTTTAAACGGCTAACATTAAGACCAACCATCCTCGTGACCTTCTCCACCAGGTGAGCGTGAATTAGTGCAAAAGAAGACTTTCCAGAAATGGGTCAACTCCCACTTAGTGCGGTGCTCCTGCCGGATCGGCGATCTCTACGTCGATCTGCGGGACGGCAAGATGCTGATCAGGCTGCTGGAGATCCTGTCGGGTGAGCGTCTGCCGCGGCCCACCAAGGGCAAGATGCGGATACATTGCCTGGAGAACGTGGACAAGGCGCTGCAGTTCCTGCGCGAGCAGCGGGTGCATCTGGAGAACATGGGCTCGCACGATATCGTGGACGGTAATCCGCGGCTCAGCCTGGGCCTGATCTGGACGATAATCCTGCGATTCCAGATCCAGGATATCACGATCGAGGAGACGGACAATCAGGAGACCAAGTCCGCGAAGGACGCCCTACTGCTGTGGTGTCAGATGAAGACCGCGGGCTACCATAACGTGAACGTGAGGAATTTCACGACCTCGTGGCGCGACGGCTTGGCCTTCAACGCCATCATTCACAAGCACCGTCCGGATCTGATACAATTCGAGAAGCTCTCCAAGTCGAACGCTATCTACAATCTGAACAACGCGTTCAACGTCGCCGAGGATAAGCTCGGTCTTACGAAGCTCTTGGACGCCGAGGACATCTTCGTCGATCATCCGGACGAGAAGTCCATCATAACGTACGTTGTCACATACTACCATTACTTCTCGAAGATGAAGCAGGAGACGGTGCAGGGTAAGAGGATCGGCAAGGTGGTCGGCATCGCGATGGAGAACGACCGCATGATACACGAGTACGAGAGCCTCACCAGCGACCTGCTCCGTTGGATCGAGGCCACCATAGAGGCCCTCGGCGATCGCAGATTCGCCAACTCGCTGGTTGGTGTTCAGTCGCAGCTCTCGCAATTCTCGAATTACCGCACCGTGGAGAAGCCGCCCAAGTTCGTGGAGAAGGGCAACCTGGAGGTGCTGTTGTTCACCTTGCAGTCGAAGATGCGCGCGAACAACCAGAAGCCGTACACACCCAAGGAGGGCAAGATGATATCCGACATCAACAAGGCTTGGGAGCGACTGGAGAAGGCGGAGCACGAGCGCGAGTTGGCGCTGCGAGAGGAGCTGATTCGTCAGGAAAAGCTCGAGCAGCTGGCGGCTCGGTTCAATCGGAAGGCTAGCATGCGCGAGACCTGGCTGTCGGAGAACCAACGGCTGGTCTCGCAGGACAACTTCGGCTTCGACCTGGCCGCGGTGGAGGCCGCCGCTAAGAAGCACGAGGCCATCGAGACCGACATATTCGCGTACGAGGAGCGCGTGCAGGCGGTGATGGCGGTCTCGCAGGAGCTCGAGGCGGAGAATTACCACGACATCGAGCGCATCAACGCGCGCAAGGACAACGTACTCAGACTGTGGAATTACCTGTTGGAGCTGCTGCGCGCCCGGCGAATGCGGCTGGAGCTGTCGCTGCAGCTGCAGCAGAACTTCCAGGAGATGCTGTACATCCTCGACAGCATGGAGGAGATCAAGATGAGGCTGCTGACCGACGATTACGGCAAGCACCTGATGGGCGTGGAGGATCTGCTGCAGAAGCATTCGCTCGTCGAGGCGGACATCAACGTGCTCGGCGAGCGCGTCAAGGCCGTTGTCCAACAGAGTCAGAGATTCCTAGAGCATGGAGAAGGCTATCGACCGTGTGACCCGACCATCATCGTCGAGCGCGTGCAACAACTCGAGGGCGCGTACGCCGAGCTGGTTAGACTGGCGGTCGAGCGTCGTGCCAGGCTCGAGGAATCTCGGAAGCTGTGGCAATTCTATTGGGACATGGCCGACGAGGAGAATTGGATCAAAGAGAAGGAGCAGATCGTGTCGACGGGTGACATCGGCCACGATCTCACCACCATCAACTTGCTGTTGTCCAAGCACAAGGCGCTGGAGAATGAGATACAGTCGCATGAGCCGCAGCTCATGTCGGTCGCCGCGGTCGGCGACGAGCTGGTGCGCCAACAGCACTTCGGCTCCGACCGTATTCAAGAGAGACTTCAGGAGATACTGGCCATGTGGAATCACTTGCTGGACTTGGCGGCCTTCAGGAGGAAACGCCTCGAGGAAGCCGTCGATTATCACCAGCTCTTCGCGGACGCGGACGACATCGACATCTGGATGCTGGACACCTTGCGGCTCGTCTCGTCCGAGGACGTCGGCAGGGACGAGGCGAACGCGCAGTCGTTGCTGAAGAAGCACAAGGACGTGACGGACGAGCTGAAGAACTACGCGACGACCATCGAACAGCTTCACCAGCAGGCGTCCTCGTTGGGCGAGCAGGACGCCAAGTCGCCGGAGGTCTTGGAGAGACTGACCTCGATAGACTCCCGATACAAGGAGCTGCTGGAGCTGGCCAAGCTGCGCAAGCAGAGGCTGCTGGACGCGTTGTCCCTGTACAAGGTGTTCAGCGAGACCGACGGGGTCGAGCAATGGATCGGCGAGAAGAACAGGATGCTCGACACGATGGTGCCCGCCAAGGACATCGAGGACGTGGAGATCATGAAGCACCGGTACAACGGCTTCGAGAAGGAGATGAACGCGAACGCTTCCCGCGTCGCCGTGGTCAATCAGCTCGCCCGGCAGCTTCTGCACGTCGAGCATCCGAACTCGGAGCAGATAATCGCCCGGCAAAACGAGCTGAATCAGAAGTGGGCCGAGCTGCGCGAGAAAGCGGAGGGCAAGCGCGAGGAGCTCAACTCCGCCCACGGCGTGCAGACCTTCCACATCGAGTGTCGCGAGACCGTGTCTTGGATCGAGGATAAGAAGCGCATCCTGCAGCAGACCGACAGTCTGGAGATGGACCTGACCGGCGTGATGACCCTGCAGCGAAGACTCAGCGGCATGGAGCGCGACTTGGCCGCGATACAGGCCAAGCTGGACGCCCTGGAGAAGGAGGCTCAGGTGATACAGCAGGAGCATCCGGAGGAGGCGGCCGTGATACGCGAGCGAATCGCGCAGATACATCTGATCTGGGAGCAGCTGACGCAGATGCTGAAGGAGCGCGACGCTAAGCTCGAGGAGGCCGGCGACCTTCATCGGTTCTTGCGCGACCTCGACCACTTCCAAGCGTGGCTCACGAAGACGCAGACCGACGTCGCCAGCGAGGACACGCCGACCAGTCTCGCCGACGCCGAGAGACTGCTCACGCAGCATCAGAACATCAAGGAGGAGATCGACAATTACACCGACGACTACCAGAAGATGATGGAGTACGGCGAGAGGCTGACCACGGAGGCCGGCGACGGCGACACGCAGTACATGTTCCTGCGGGAGAGGCTGAACGCGCTCAAGATGGGCTGGGAGGAGCTGCACCAGATGTGGGTGAACCGGCAGAATCTCCTGTCCAACTCGCTGAATCTGCAGGTGTTCGACCGCGACGCGCGACAGGCCGAGGTGTTGCTGTCGCAGCAGGAACACATACTCGCCAAGGACGAGACGCCGGCGAACTTCGAGCAAGCGGAACACATGATCAAGCGGCACGAGGCCTTCATGACCACCATGGACGCGAACGACGAGAAGATCAACTCGGTCGTGCAGTTCGCCGGCCGCCTCGTCGACGAGGGACACTTCGCCGCCGACAAAGTGAAGAAGAAGGCCGAGAGCATCAACGAGCGCCGGCGGGTGAATCGCGAGAAGGCCAATCAGCTGATGGAGAAGCTGAAGGATCAGCTGCAGCTGCAGATGTTCCTGCAGGACTGCGAGGAGCTCGGCGAGTGGGTGCAAGAGAAACATATCACTGCCCAAGACGAGACGTACCGAAGCGCCAAGACCGTTCACAGCAAGTGGACCCGCCATCAGGCGTTCGAGGCGGAGATCGCCAGCAACAAGGACCGCCTGCAGCAGCTGCAGCAGGCCGCCGACGAATTGATCCAGCAGAAGCCGGACTTGGCCGAGATCATAAAGCCGAAGGTGGCCGAATTGGCCGACCAGTTCGTGGAGCTGGAGACGACCACTCACGACAAGGGCGAGCGACTGTTCGACGCGAATCGCGAAGTACTGATACACCAGACCTGCGACGACATCGACTCGTGGATGAACGAGCTGGAGAAGCAGATAGAGAGCACCGACACCGGCTCCGACCTCGCGTCCGTCAACATACTCATGCAGAAGCAACAGATGATCGAGACGCAGATGGCGGTGAAGGCGCGACAAGTCACCGAGCTCGACAAGCAGGCTGAACACCTGCAGCGCACCGTGCCCGACGACAAGATGGAGGAGATCAAGTGCAAGAAGGAGAAGGTCGCCCAGCGATTCGCCCAGCTGAAGGCGCCGCTGATCGACCGCCAACGGCACCTGGAGAAGAAGAAGGAGGCCTTCCAGTTCCGGCGCGACGTCGAGGACGAGAAACTGTGGATCGCGGAGAAGATGCCGCAGGCGACGAGCAGCGAATACGGCACTTCGCTGTTCAACGTTCACATGCTGAAGAAGAAGAATCAGTCGTTGCGCACCGAGATCGAGAATCACGAGCCCAGGATCAATCTGGTCTGCAACAACGGGCAGAAGCTGATCGACGAGGGCCACGAGGACAGTTCCGAGTTCCAGAAGCTGATATCCGAGCTGACGGAGAAGTGGCGGGAGTTGAAGGACGCCGTCGACGACAGGAACAGGCACTTGCTGCAGAACGAGAAGGCGCAGCAGTACTTCTTCGACGCCACCGAGGCCGAGTCGTGGATGAGCGAGCAGGAGTTGTACATGATGGTCGAAGATCGCGGCAAGGACGAGATCTCCGCGCAGAACCTGATGAAGAAGCACGAATCGCTGGAGCACGCCGTCGAGGATTACGCGGAGACGATCCGCCAGCTCGGGGAGACCGCCCGGCAGCTTATCAACGATCAGCACCCGTTGGGCGATCAGATCGCGGTGAAGCAGTCGCAGGTGGACAAACTGTACGCCGGACTGAAGGATCTCGCGGGCGAACGTCGCGCGAAACTCGACGAGGCGCTCCAGCTGTTCATGTTGAATCGCGAGGTCGACGACCTGGAGCAGTGGATCGCGGAGAGAGAATTGGTCGCCAGCAGCCACGAGTTGGGCCAGGATTACGATCACGTCACCTTGCTGTGGGAGAGATTCAAGGAGTTCGCCCGCGACACCGAGGCGATCGGCTCCGAAAGGGTGGAGGCCGTCAACGGCATCGCCGATTCTCTGATCGCCACCGGCCACTCGGACGCAGCCACGATCGCCGAATGGAAGGACGGTCTGAACGAGGTCTGGCAGGACCTGCTCGAGCTGATCGAGACCCGCACTCAGATGCTGGTGGCCAGTCGCGAGCTGCACAAGTTCTTCCACGACTGCAAGGACGTGCTCGGCAGGATCCTGGAGAAACAGAACGCCATGTCTGACGAGCTGGGCCGCGACGCCGGCTCGGTGTCGGCGCTCCAGCGTAAGCACGCCAACTTCATTCAGGATCTGTCGACGTTGCAGAGCCAGGTGACGCAGATCGAGGAGGAGTCCGCTAAACTGCAGGCGAGCTACGCCGGCGACAAGGCGCAGGAGATCACGAATCGCGAGGCCGAGGTGGTCGCGGCGTGGAACAATCTGCAGTCCCTGTGCGAAGGCAGACGCACCAAGCTCGAGGACACCGGCGACCTCTTCAAGTTCTTCAACATGGTCAGAACGCTGATGATCTGGATGGACGACGTGGTGCGCCAGATGAACACGTCCGAGAAGCCGCGCGACGTCGCCGGCGTCGAGCTGCTCATGAACAATCACCAGAGCCTGAAGGCGGAGATCGACGCCAGGGAGGATAATCTGATGGCGTGCATCAATCTCGGCAAGGACCTGTTAGCTAGAAACCATTACGCGAGCGCGCAGATTAAGGAGAAACTGGCCGCATTAACGGACCACAGAAACGCGCTGTTGCACCGATGGGAGGAACGCTGGGAGAATTTACAGCTCAGTAAGGATTACAATTCATTTGCTACTCACGGCGTACTTAAGCCACTTGCACGTATCATTACATGCCTTTGAAAAATATACCCTTGTTACTAAAATGATTTTTTTACTGAATCCAAGTACAAATATATAAAAAGTATATACAATTTAATCTTTTCACTTGAGCGTTATTTTAACGATTTTTCAAAGTGAAGAGATAAGTATTCTATATTTAGATTATGTGAACGATTAAATCGTGATTAAAAATCCATATATTGCCTCCTAAGTGTTTACAGGTATTATGTTGTCCACATAAAACTTATATTGTGATAAAAGCAACGTAAAATATTAAATTCCGGTTTCTATCCCCATTTTCAAGAATGTTCTTTCTGGTGACATTTTTAGCATTTTTGTTTACATTACTAATGCTCAAAAATTTATACACTTTTGGCAAATTTTTTCTTCCCATTCAAAATCCGTTGTTTGCTCACTATCGGCATCATGACTATCAGAATTTATCGGAATAATACGTCCCTGTGTCATGGGTTTAATTACATCTTCACTAGAATTAGAATTACCTCGTCTGTATTAAATCTTGCCATTTTTTCGCTTAACGTCTTTATATTGCCTTTCTAAGAACAACTTTAATGCCCCTTGCCTACTGTACTGGTCATTGACTCACTGTGAATATGGTCGATATGCGCATATGTGCGCTCTGGTGATAACGTCGACGAAAATTGATCAATGATATTCAATAATATCCCCGATAAATGCACAATCTTGCATTTATCAGCGACTTGTGGACTCGATTTCATATTTCCCTAATACTTTCTTATTTACTTACTGCAGTCTTGGAAGTCTACCAATTCGCCCGAGACGCGGCGGTTGCCGAAGCATGGTTAATTGCTCAAGAGCCGTATCTTATGAGCCAAGAACTTGGTGTAAGTAATCGTTTTCAGACGTCGAGTTGAATTCTTGCTTATGAACGGATCTCTTATGAACGAATGTCTCCGCAGCACACTATCGACGAGGTTGAGAACCTGATCAAGAAGCACGAAGCCTTCGAAAAATCGGCAGCTGCTCAAGAGGAAAGGTTTAGTGCCTTGCACCGACTTACTACTGTGAGTAGATATCCACGGCTGTTCCGTGACTAAGTGCAGGACATCGTAATTGGGAACTTTGGCAAATCAACGGGAATAACAAGAACTTCCCTATCGTGGTGCACGCTACTTAATATGCAAATTTGTCGCGGTCTCTGTGGTATAATTATATGATGATACTCGCGTGTATATATAATTTACGAATGCGGATTATGTGGTTCTGTTTATATATACATATATAAATCTCATCGTATTTTCTCTCAATGCAGTTCGAGTTGAAGGAATTAAAACGACGGGAGCAAGAAAGAGAAGAAGAGGAGAGACGCAAGAAGGAAGAAGCGGCGGCAGCGGAGGCCGCGCGTTTGGCTAAGGCGACGCCCGTTACTAGTCCAGACGAACCACCCAGTGAAAGGTAACGCGTCGATATTTTTTCGCACACGACTATACACAGTCTCTCACGCGATCTCACGAACGAATTTGCTTTGTCGCAGAGCCGAAACAGATGGAGTAACGAGCGGAGAACGCGCCGGAGAAGACGAAGGACACGGTAATATAACTACACCTATCATAACACATGTTTTTGGGTTTACTAATCGATACTGCCGACGATTTGCCGATCGTACCTACTGCCTACCTCATTTTCTAATCGTGCGATCTCGCATTTAGTCTGAAGGGAATGTTGATATCGAGTGTAACATGCCGGTCGATATTCGATAAGCATCTGGAATATAATGTCGAAAGCTTTCTTTACCGGGATCACGCTTGTTCGTATAACTTTTGTTGACTTGTCGCGATAACGGTCTCTGGACGTAGCAGATGTAACCCGAAAAGAGATTAAAAGAGCCAGGGACCCGCGAGTACAGTGTGATGACTTGGTGTTACGACTAAATCCACTAAAATAGTGGGAGATCTTTCTCTCGTCGCGTGATAACTCAATAACGCTCCCGAGTGTTTTGGAATTACGAATACGGTTTGTTCGTATATAAGCATGACATCGCTAACAGCACGTTTATTTCTGCCTCCTCCCACCCACCTACGTTGAATATACCTCATTCCAATCCGTATCGAATCCGTCGCCCACGTCCTTATGTTACCACTACCACCATCATCACGGCCGCCGCCGTCGCCCCGTCGCCTTCCTCCCTCTGCCCCTTGAATGCACCCTAATGCGGCACGGAATGCACGAACCACAGTGGCACATCGCAAGGCTTCCACACGTACACCACAGCCTCAAGACAAGCCCAAGGAAGGTGAGTGTCACGTGATATATGTTCAAATTATCGTAATGTGTAAGAATTAACTTTTACACTGACTATATATATATGTATATGTATGATGTCTCCGCGACTTTTCTACGAGTCTCGATCGTACAGGTTGCCCCCAATCATTTTCCAAACTGGTGATGGATCGTGAGTCATGCCTACTGCAGCCTAGTAGCGGCATTTAACGACGGCTTTGCTCTTCAGATTCACGTTAGCGTTAAGTCCACACGATAATGTCTCTCACATTCTTTCAGCGTCCCTAGCGTATTCCAGATTCTGCACCTATCACTCTCGCTCTCTCAGCCTTTGTCTCTTTCTCTCTCACCCACACGAATCACCATTTATACGCTTTTATTAACATCTTCTTCAGCAGGGAGCTATGACCGAGTTACTCCTGAGAGATGCTCTTTCCGCCACCTGCTGCAGGCTGATAATATAGACAATTAGATTACATTGTTCATCTCTCTTGCACGCACGGTAACAGAGTCACGCGTAGCGATAGTTCGGTAACGTTTTCGACCAACTGTCTTCTTTGTAGCACATCTGTCGTTATCGTTAATTCATAATGTCATTTCTGCTCGATGATCCGTCGCGAGCCATTTCATTCACGCCGCCGGCCCGGTAGGTACATCTGTGCTGTAATCATGTTTCTCATCTCATTCGTCACGGTGCGATCACGGTCGAGCATAGGAACGGTAATACGTAAATACCTTGCCTAAAAGGTAAGCTCCGCACGGAATATCTCGTCCTCGTCCGTCGTATCGAATACGGGAAGCACGAGTTTATGTCCTTTGTGTACGTGTCCAGTTTTCAATGTGTCTTTGCGATACGCATGCTAGATATGTGCGAATCAAGGATCTTTGATGTCGAATCGAATCTCATTTTTTATTCTCGATTCCGAATATCGAACCGAGTCGACGAAATTTCATCCGAATCGAATCGTCGAAACATAATTTTTAATTAACAATATAATTGTGAATTCAACATAAAAAATAGCGAGGGAGGATTCCGGTATTAGAGGAATAGCATTGATTTTGTGATATCGCGATATTAACACTTTAACGGCCGCACGTCTATGCAGTCAAATGTCGCCAGGAGCCGGCAATATTTTCTTCGGCGGTAGCATCACACACATGTTGTGTGAGCGGACAGTAACAGTTGTTCCGGCTATCGCACACATGTTGTGTGAGCGGCCGTTGAAGTGTTAATATTCGATATTTATATCAAACGATTAAAAATTATCACAAATGTTAGCGCTTTTCAATTATCCATAGATTCCTTTGATATCATGAAAATATATTTAAATATGCAAATTTTAATTCGCGTGAATGTGAATAATTCGTACATCTCTAATGCATACGACTGTTGCCAATTGTTCGGTAGAATAATTCCGTAATTGGTCGTTCCAATTTTCTTTTCTATTTTTTTCGTTTTCGATGGTTCAACTCTAACGCGAGGCACGCCTTGTGTAGTTAGCCGTGTATTGATCGAGAGATAATTAATATTGGTATTGTCGCGATGAATGCAATATACGATGCTTTCGTAACGTCGCGCACACACACACACACACACACATGCGCACGATGTGTATACCAGAGTAATACATAGCATGATTTTGTGATTGGTGTGGTGTAGTGCATGCTCAAAAACCCACGCAACTGACTTTACGGGAAGGAGGAACCCCACCTGTCGCACCGACCTCAGCCAAGTCCGCGAAGTCACCGACTTCGCCGCGTGGTCTACCTACAACACCGACAAGTAAGTGTTCACGCTCGTTGTGACCTGTGTCACGTTGGAATTACACGGGAGACCGTTTATTGACGTCAGTTATTACATCACTCGCGACACATTACCGCGACCCGCGCGCAGTCATCGCAGCGGCCGAGCCGCGCTTACTTAATTATCACGAACGAAATAAACGAAACGAACGACGCATCGTCAAACAAATTGTTACATCGTGCTGAAATAATCCTCGCCGGACGCGTTCTTCGCTTGCAGCGGCCCGTAGGGACACGCGGGCCCGTATTTGTCCACGAAGCAGCAAGCCTTCACAACTCTAAGTACCTCGTCCACCGATCGCGGTATCGCCTTGGCATTGATCGTCGCGTGGCGTATGATTCCGTCTTGATCCATGACGAACAAGGCCCGACGCGCGGTCCCTTGCTTCTCGTCCAGCACACCGTAATCCCCCGCGATCTGGTGGCTCTTGTCGGCCAACAGCGGGATTCGCATCTCCCCCAGACCCCCTTGCTTCCGCGGCGTCGTTATCCAGGCGAAGTGCGAGTACTCGGAGTCCGTAGAAACAGCCACCACTTCCGCGTCTGTGTATCAAAGTATGAGAAATTCATGTACAGTAGACTCCATCAATGCTGTCCCATTCCCTGGACATCGGACATTTCCAGTTAAGAGTGTTATTCGTGCATCATGACTGTTGATCATTTGATGAATCGCCAATGGTTTACCAAAATAGCAGTCGAGACGCACAAATGTTCCAAAATAGCACGCCTAATTGGACATTTTCAATGTTACCATGTCTAGGGAGTGGGATAGCATTGATGAAATATACTGTACAAGGAAAGAAATATTTGTAAAAAAATTCATGAAAGAAATATAAAGAATGGACTCGATAGTTATATAGTTGGTGAAACTTGCGATAATTAACGCGTTGAGTGCCATGCTGCTTTCCATTGATCGTATAAACATCTAACTGATGATTAAGTCACTAAAGCTGTACTAAAGAAATATATATAAGAAGTTTTATCGTTACCAAGAGCGCGAAATTCGTTGACGCGATCGCTAAACTGGATGAGTTCGGTCGGGCATATGAATGAGAAATCACATGGATAGAAGAGCAGCACCAAGTATTTCCCTGAGAAATCGCACGACGATAGTTCCTGCATCTTCAAATCGACCACCGCAATACCGGACCAGGATGGTGCGCGTTGCGATACCGTCGGCAACGTCTGTATCGCGATCGGCGTTTCCGACGTTTTTACGCAATAAGAATCCATCCCGAATATTTTGTGCACTCGAGTCACGAATCGTTATAATCTACGAATACGTGAGATTTTTTAATAACATAACAAGCCTACGTTCTACTTTTGTTTACGCTATGAATAGCGCAACGGTTCGTTGTTAGATCACTTCGTGGTATAAGACATGAGAGATATTGTGCAGGGAGTAACTTTGTCGTTTCAAACGCCGTAAGAATAAATTAATTATTCGTTTTAATGAACACAACTCGGAGTTTAGGATGAGATGTCAAGGCCCAATTGACACGCGGACGCACGACCATTTATATAACAAACACGCTGTTGCAATCAATCCAATTTTCTCTTGTCCTTTATATTCAGTCTGACAACAAGTATACACAGTCAATGGAGGAAAGGTTTATGACACTTTTGCCGCGATGAGCCTCAGAGAGGCGGTGATATCCGATAAGGAAATTAGTATTCTGGTAATTTCCGATAATATTCTGGGGATTATTGAAAAAAACACAGATTTTCCTATCGGATACCGGATGCGTTGCTGGCTCGTTCGGAGGAAAAAAGTGTCGCAAATTTTCATCCACTGACTACACACAGTAGCCGTTTAGCGTCTCCCGCATGAGCATGCTGCATGAAAGTGTGTCTACTCGTTAAATTCTCCGCATGTAGTTAGAGGGCAGAGGAAGAAATAGCATAATGTAGTATACGAGAGAGGACGCGAGGACTATTAGCGACAAATTGTTTAGCCGATCGATTCTGCTACAAGCTAGGTAGAGAGGGTCAGGGTGCCGAGAGTAAGTAGCTAATAATGTCATGTGTGTTGCGTACGTCGTGTTAAGCTCCGAAAGGCGGAAGCGGCTCCGAGTCCGGTACTTTAAGGCGTAAGGAGCGAAGCCGCAGCAAGTCACCATTCAGGAGCTTCCGCTGGAGAAAATCCGCCAAGTCGCCGAGTTTAGATCGCAGTGGCGTGAGTGATGATGAGCACAGCATTCCTGGTAAGTGGAGAAGAGAGAGAGAGGAAACTTACGCGGTAGTTCGATCTGTCACACGTTCACCCGATAGACGTGTTCATTTCGACAGACCATGCAAATCCGTCGTGTTTATTCACACTCATCCGCATTTTTATACATATATACTGCTTACTGAGAACGCGAAACACGGAAAATCGACGGTCCACGCATACACACACACAGTGGTCGGCATGTGACAGTACACATGGAAGAAACAGTTCCGTTGGTGTAACTGAATTTTCCGTTGTCTGGGGACCAGACGAAAACTTGATTGTGAGAATTACTAGAGAACAATTCTGATATTTGTGTATAATGTCTACATATTAATTTTTAATATCATAATAGTTTTTCATCAGAATCTTATTTTTAAATTAGAAGATATTACAAATTAAAATTAAAAATACTACGCTAATCTCTCAAGGAACGTATAAAAGTGTCAACTTTAGTTGCAAATATCTCAGCTGAATGGTCAGCTCGAATGGTTTTTCTAATTGCACAAGCAGTTTGATAATATTTTAATGTATACGTAATGCAAGTTTCATCGAATTCTTATTAAATTTATTTCATCTACAACCTCCTTAACTGAGTTTTAGTGCAGCTCAATGTGTTCATACGATTGTTCCCAATCACGTTAACATAGATATCATTTCTTGTCACCGACCTTTTATCTGGTCCCCATTCAGTTGCAGGAACAGAATGTTTTCTGTATAACTGACGTTACCACTCGGGAATCAGAGACACTATACTCGATTGACGACGTGCGATTCTAATTAGCGGCGGAGTCTCGTGCGTGAAATCGTCCAAGTCGCTTTTTGTTTGATTGACCAAATCTTGAGGAATCTTGATATTGAATTTGCAGCTTTATCGTCCATCCCAAGCGAGGAGTACCGGCTGGTGTTGCTCCCCTTCTCTCGCGTATAGTTGATAATATATTGCGAATGTTAGAAGGTCGCTTCTTACCGAATGGATGTACGAACGTTAATAATCGGTCGCTCTTCTTGCAGAACAACGTAGCCCGAGCGACGACGAGTTCGAGGGACCGTTGCAGCGGAAGCACGAGTGGGAGAGCACGACGAAGAAGGCATCCAACCGCTCCTGGGACAAAGTGTACATGGTCGTACGCGGACAAAACTTATATGTATATAAGGATCAGAAGTCGTACAAAGCGTCGCCCGATCAAACGTACAAAGGAGAGACTCCTCTTGATTTACGAGGCGCGACTATTACCGTAGCGAGTGATTACACTAAGAAGAAACATGTCTTCCGAGTCAAGTAAGTGTATCCCGCTTCACCGAATGTATAGTTAGCGTCATGTATATCGCACCATACCCAGAGAATAATACAACATGACGTCAATGTATTACTATTGACCAATATTGTGGGGCGTTTTAGCGATAAAGATAATTTGTAACGTTATCACGGCTCGTTTTCTTCTTTTACAGGTCGCAAAGCGGATCCGACTTCCTGTTCCAGGCCAAAGACGACGCGGAAATGATCGACTGGGTGTCCGCATTAAATCAGGCAGCACAGGGAACATCGGGTGCGAGTACATCCAGGGCTCACACCTTGCCCGCTCCGACACAAGCCGAAACCAAGCGGCGTAGTTTCTTCACTCTCAAGAAGAAGTAAGTATATACGTCGGGTAATCTCGCGGAGATTTAAGACCGTACTCCGTACTCGAGAACTGATATGGATACGCAAACGAAAGATAATTTTCCGGTAATATTATCAACCCAGAATCGATTTCTAACGAGACGGATGCACTCGCACTACTGCGAATATATAAATCGTGAGTTTTGCAGCATTCCAAGTCGAGAGGCGCGCTAATTCCGCGCGAAGATGCCTGTTGTCTCGTTAATTCGCTTCGTCCTCTCGAGTACGTCCACGATAAGTCCACTAGAGAATATTCTGTTAGCAATTAAGAATATACACGCGTTCTCGTCGTCTTCCATCGCTGTCCTTCAGCAACGTTGTCTGTTCCCTTTGCGGAAGAATATTTTCTTTCTTAATTTTTTGTGTTTCTCATTGCTACAAGATACTGTTTTGCGATTCGTTAACCGTTACGATAGTCAATATTTTGCACTCGGCTATCGTAGAGAAAACGTTATTTGTCATCATTCGTTCGTTCGTTCGTTCGTTCGTTCGTTCGTTCATTCATTCATTCATTCATTCTTCATTCATTTATTCATTCATTCATTCATTCATTCATTCATTCATTCATTCATTCACGATTGATGGACGTCTCGTCTCGTAAAGCATAAGTCGATGATTCTAGACACACGTGTGCCCTCACTCTCCCTCATACGAAATCCGCTCATCGACCCTGTCGCATTCGATCATGTTTCATTTATCATATTTTAGAAAAGCCAAAAAGTAGAAAGCGAAACCAATGAACATAAGAAACAGTACACAATTGGAACAACATTTAGAGACGCGGTGAGTCGCACACAATTCTAGATCCATTTACCGTCGTACTTATTGCACGATTAATTGACTGATTGATTGATCGTCCATTCCAATTGTTTTCTTCTAATTTTTTTTTTATTTATTTATTTTGTCGTTATTATAATTAGCTTCTGGAAAATATAACGGGAATGTTCTTCCAATTGTGAATGCGGAATGACTACAGAATTACTCTTGAAGTGACGAGAAAAATTTATGTATGTAGAGCATTCTGTGTTTCATATACAACTTCCTTGAATCTCACGATAGAACGCTCATCGATCGATCCACTACGATAACGGTGGCTCAAGAGAACTCTTTATCGCGCGAATATTACAGATTACCGAGATTACAGTTTTCGCGCGGCGACATTGCTGCGATATGTGAAACACAATTGTTCTCTACGCCCCTACATTTGTTCAACAGTTAAATAATAGGTGCTTGTTATTCGCATATATTTATATTATATATCTATCTATCTATCTATCTATCTATCTATCTATCTATCTATCTATCTATCGCTTTCATTTCGAATACTTGTTTCGTTTCGCACCATATATAGTGTACTATATGTAGATACTCGGATCATTGTGTATCATTGTTAAACTATATTGTAGCTGTGTTCCATCACCGCTTCTGACGTCGTCATTTATTCTTCACGCTTTCTCTGCTATCAGAATATTCCCAGGAACCTTTACTGTAGAGGTAATTGATCGTCTGTGCGTCTCGAAATTGAGACGCTTACGAAACACGACACTCTACGAATCCTAGTGACTCCTCAAAGACGGAGTACTAAGGTCTATTCTAATTTACTTTGCTGACATTAGATTTGGTTAAACATAGCCCATCGAGAATTAGCTTGGAAAATGAAAAAAGAAACTTGTGAGACACTTTAGCGATTTTACTTTAACTGATTTTTTGCATATATCACGTCTTTTGTCTCTTGCAACTTTGTCATTGCGAAATTTGTGAAACGTGCAAAAACAGTGATTGATCGTGACAGATCTAGCAGTCCACGACGACACGATTACTCATTGCGCCTTTACGTTTGCTAATTTTCAGCTAAACTGGAGCAGTGAAGTCCGGTATAAGCCGCTCGTAATGCGTCTGCACAACACATCGTGTTTAAGAGAAAATGTTTCGTCGCTCTACATGGTTAAAGCAACGCTAATATAAAATTAGAAGACATGGCCACGGTGTTACGAAATGAATTGAAGGATGGATCGAACGGGTCTTTGAAAAACGCCTACGTATGAAGAACGGAGATATATAACAGTTATATGTTGATATTATGCAAGTGTAGGCTAATTGAAAGTCTAATTAAATTTAGTTCTTCAATGAATTTTTGGACACTTTGCAATATTGCTAGTTGACGAGAGAAGAGACATTTGAGATGTCCCACGTTAGCGTGCTCAGAGACTTTATTGACACGGGATTTTATTTCGTCACAATTACGTGTGCATGTCGCGCGCGTCTTGTCCATACACATCGAAGTGCGCGATCATTTCTGCCTGTCATTCGGTGAAACGAACGATGTCTTCTTTATGGTACAAAATATTTCGTCGTAAGTTTCCGCGATGCATTTTTGCGTGGTGTTCTTTTCAATTTATTTGATACGGAAGACGAGTTTTAACTTTTTAGTTTCGCGAGAAAAACATGGTTCGGTGTAGACGCACCGTAACCACACATACATACACGCGTGGTTTATGGTAATTTATAATTATTTTACACGGCTCGCATGCGAGCTCGGTTTTATGGCAAAATTAACTTGGTCACATATTAATTCGTTTTATTGTACGTGTTTCGTGCGATTTCTGGCATCACAGAAACGATATAATCTCCGATTGTTCCAAGGAGAACGGGAAGTGGATTCCAGCCGTGTTAATCGCTTAGGATATATCGCTTTCATTATCATTTTCTTCTCTCTCTTTTTTTTTTATCGCACTGCAGTATTTACTTCTTTTTCCTGCAAACGCGTATGTTTGCGTTCGAATGACTGCCATATATTTTAAGAAACACACTAACTTGGGACATAATATTATATAAACTAGCTTTTAACGAATTGTTAAATATGCATCGCCCTAAGGGAAAATCGCATTGAAGAATTATAAAGAAAAAGAAGAAGAAGAAAAAATTGTAATGACTAACGAGAGAGAGTTTCCCCCTTAATATGAAACCCAAATATCACGATTCTCTGCAGATTTGGAAGAATATTTGAATTTTTTTAGACTCGCGCGCGAATGGCACGATTTCGCGCCGAGTGAACGCTTACGGTGAATTTATTATATTTAACCGTGTTATCACTGTCGCAAATCACGTTTCACTCGGCGTCAAATCTGAACATTCGGCGCGACGCGCGGACTATATTACTTTTGTAATTGTTAATTTTTTTAATATTTATCACGTTCATATCTTGTTTCTTAGAGTGTAAGTCTCGTTTGTCGAGTTCTAAAGGACAGCTTCGAAAACAAATTTTGAGTTTAGCGGTAATACCTTGGAGATTATGTAATGGTTTCACGAGAGAGAATATATCACGTTTTCTTTTGGTTTCTCGGTTCTCAATGCGACTCGACCAATTGACCCGATGTACTGTGTATCTTTGGAATGCAATCTTCTTAGCGATAATCTCTCTTTGATTCTCTAATCGACTCACGGTTCAAATATCCGGCAGATCTAAGTTCGCATATAGCAATTGCATTGTCGGCTAAGCTTAACTCAAAAACTTGTATATATATATATCTATCTACGGAGCTCCTATACACGTTATGTACGCGAGAATAATTCTAATCAAAATGGTCGTACATCGTCGCTTTTATAATTTTATGCATGTGCATTTAGCGGAACATTGAATATCGGAGTCGCATTGCTAAACAACACAATTTGGTATGTCATAGCTATGTGTTTTATATATAAATATACATATAAATATATAAATACAGAACGATAAAAAGCATTAAATTATAAGAAATAAAAAAATTATAATAGATAATATATATAATAATAATAATTGTCAAATTAACGTGGCTCTTTTCGTTTTAAAACGGCCTTCCTCGTGGATTCTCGTCGTCGACAAAGGGCGAAAAAGAATTTAAAAAACAAAAGAGAGAGAAATCGGAGCAACAACGTTGTTCGCAATTCGACGTGTCGAATCGATCGAATTGAATGGAAATTTATCGGAGAACACGCCGGCAACTGGACACCTGATTTAACAGGAGCGCTTTAACACGAAAAGAAGTCGCAATATATATCATTAAACACTCGCTTATATCGAACGTTCTTTTGGTTGTACTTTTCAGGCTGGCTATTCTCGATACATTTAGAAAAACGTAGATCCCTAATCACTTTAGAGAGAGAATCGATTCTTTTCCTTTTACTATATTTGTCTACGCGCTGTATTAACGACATGAGATGATGATTTCGCATTATTAATTCCCCCGTCGTCACCTGTAAAACGAATTAACCACTCTCACTTCATCGTTATTGTCATCGCGGTGAGACACGGCGACAATGTATGCAATTGATTGCTTTACCTTCAAACCTTCATTAAGGTCAACGTGTAATTTTTTAATGTGCCTTTTTATAGCTTCATTGAGAAATAAAAATGCGATACGTATCAAGCACGTGGTTGCTGCTGCTGGCAGATAAACCGACAAACAGATCGTAGCGTCCGACGAAACGGCGAGACGACGATCGTGAAACGATCCGCAATCCGTCTACTGCTCTCCCAATTGTCTCTTTTTCTCTCTCTGTTCATCGTCGGAGCAAGTAAAGCCTAAGAAAAGAAAAAAAACAGACGGAGAGAGCTCATGACGCGCGACTCGCCGATTCGTTGCGTCTTTCGCGTGAGCTCAAAGCCGTTCGTCGTCGAGCCATGCAATTAACTGTGTCAATGAAGATCAACGACGATCGGCGACTATTGCTCGACTACTTCGTGCTCGCGAGAGGCCGACGGATGTATCGACGAGCCGCGTGTCGCCTTTTGTAAGAGTATTTTAAGCGCTATTGGCGGTGGTATATACGCGAGTTGGAACGCGACAATGCGCACGGCGACAAAGTTGCGACCGTTCTCGAAATTGGTTCGCGTTAAATGTCGATCCGGGGTGCATACATACATACATACGTATCACACGCATGGATACAGCATATACACACATACCTGCACGCGAGCACGTCGATACGTGACGCGACATCGTTGCACGTTGCAGAGCGGCTATTTTCAAACCGATATCGATTTGCCGTGGAGAGAGAACTCGTGTGACCGGCGTGCGGACCTCACGTCCTACTTTACGTCCACCGCAAATCGAAGCGTCGCCTGCATAATGATCCTCTTATTATACGACGGCCGGCCCTGCCGCGCCGAGAGCGAGAAACGTCTCGACGCGGAGTCCCGCGATGTCTAGATCCTCGCGCGAGGAAGAACGAAACAGTAGACAAGTAAAGAGCGACGCGCCGCGTGAAGACGCGCGATCATCACCGCCCGTGCCGCTTCTCTCCGCGTGATCAATTGATTAAAGATGATTAAGAGTTCACCCAAGTTCCGATTAAGCTAATTGACGATTAACTCAGAGTCGCCGATGTGGAATATGAAAGACGGTTTTGTTGCCGTTAAAACGGGCAAGAGATTCTCGCGTTCTCTCTTTGTAACGTATATATATTGCGTTATGTATGCCTAATCATTCCTTAGATTGAGAGTTACGCGATTTTCAACCTTACGCGTATGCGCATAAGGTCGAAAGTTGCATATTTAACTCTAGCTATAACTGTGGGACGTACATAATGTAGCGTGTACTTGAAATTGCAATCAGTCCATAAATTAAAGGACTCGGTGCAAAAAGCCGATCAGCTCCATTTTTTGAAATTGTTCAGTATCAACAAAAAAAAACTGTTTTGCAAAATTATGCAAATTTTTTTTACGAAAATCGTTTAAATATGTCAAGATCGCTTTGTTAATACATTTTTGGACACAAAAAGTTTATCGATAATGTCAGTTTTAATAAAAAAATAATTTTTTTCTTAAAGGAGCTGACCGGTTTTTGCACCGAGCCCTTCAATTGCTTTATTCCGCTGACATATACATAAATTTTCGGTTAACTTTTCGGTTGTTGTCGGACAAATTATATAATTAGAAATAAATGCCTTAGCAGGTTAATCGCTGATTAGATTAAATGGAGTTTGGAGTTATCTTCGGTGGGCAAGGTAAGATACGGTTTTTAAGGTGCTATTTCGATTGCCGAATCGTTTGTTTTAGAAAGACAGTCTCGTTTAATCTTTGATCATTGAAAACGAACAATAAACATAGTAATCGATGCTAATTTATAAGGATATTTTATAGTTTCCTTGAATGAATAAGGCTATTGGGAATATTGTGCATTACCTAGACAGACACACGATATTTATAAAGTATTTTTAAAATATAGATATTAAATATTTTACAAATATTCAAATGCTCGGGAAAATCGGATATTAAAAAGATGTATGATAAACAATTCAAGAATATTTATGAAGAATATTTCTTATAAATAATAAAAACATGATTTCACTTGAGTAAAACCATGTTTTATAAAATTATTTATCAAAAATATTCTTTGTAAATATTCTCGAATATATATCAAACTTTCGCAAAGCTGTTTCTCGGACATTTGAATAGTCACAAAATATTTAGTATCTGTATTTTTTAAATATTTTGAAATTATTATGTCTGGGTATTCACAAAGAAATTTACTTAACAGTATGTTCAGATTTTGGGAACGTGAAAGCCTTTCTGAGATGAACGACTCAATTTCCCTCAATTTTACTTGTGGCCGATAAACGATAAGGCTGTTTTCGCGCTTTCGCTCTCTTATTCTCTCTCTCTCTCTTCTCTCCCCTCCTCGCTCTCCATCTCTCTCTCTTTCTCATTCTCTCTTGCGAAGACTGTCGATTAATCAGCTCCGACAGATTATCGCGTATCAACACGCGCGCGCGCCACGAGACAGGCTAGTGTGCGAATGATTCTGATTACACCGATGTGTATTGCGCTCCTAATAAACGATCGCTTGAAAAGCGACACAGTTGTGTGGAATGTTCAACGTCTCCGTTGTTGTATATCTCTGATCGTATAACATTGTATTCTTAACGAATCAGGTGATCTTCGGTCGTCTGTACGGTTACAATTTTACGTATATATACCTGGACGTTTCGAAAGATACGAATTCCCAAGATAACATTAAAGCGTCGCTTCTTCGAGTCGAATGTTAAACCACAACGTCGACGAGGATCGTAAGAAAAAGTGCTGAGGTTCGTTGGCTGCTCTTCTTTTTCACAAAAGAATGTGTGTGACGTGAATCTGAACATTGAAACCCCGGGACAACCGAGACGCAACCTGACACAACTCGTTCAGTGAATAATCGTGAATAATCGTGAAGTGGGCCGGAATGGGTTGTTTATTTGCTGCGTCACGAAAACGGAAATAAAAGAATCTGCCGGACGAACAGGAGATGACACGCGTGTCAGAGTCCTTCGGTGTCAATTCCCGCGGCCGGGATTATATCAAGACTCGGATTTAATAGCGTTCAGCGGCGATTATTCGCCGAGAATACGGATCTACGCGCATAGGCGCGTCAGCAGCGCGGTGTACACCGGCTGTTCTCTAGCCCGTCAGGAAATGAAAAAGTCATTATCTAATATACTTTTATTATTACATCTGTGCGCCGCGTCATTAAAAGCACTTGCTTGCTCCCCCAAGTCGGGCTATCCGTGCCTTTATCGGGAGGACTCCCTTCCGTCTCTTCCCGCTTCTTCGTTATCGCTCATTGCAGGGTCACACTCGGTCCGTTCATACGTTAACAATTTTACGAAACTTTCCGAAAAGACGGAGCGTCGTGCTCGGGCGAACGGATATTTTCGAGTAATCTCGATCTCTCGAGAAAGGACCGGATAATTTCGAGAGATTTCACCAAAAATTGATCGACGAGCGAACCGACCGAATCTCGCAATCCCGAGGAACCAGGTAACAATAATTTTATCGGTGATATCAAATTTTATGAGGAAAACATTCAATTATCAGATCAAACGTTTAATTCATTCTCGGCTTTTTCGATAAGATTACGTTCCCTCGCAGCGACAAATAAAGAACAAGATTCAAAGTCGGACGCAATTCAAGAGGTTGATTATGTGTCTCGGAACACAGCGAAAATTACGTTGTAATTGAAATTGAAAAGAAAAGTGAGTTTTCGTTTGATCGAGTGAACCTTCGCCATGACGAAATCCATATAGATGCAATGTATCTCACGTGAGGTCGTTCGACAAGTCATTTCGCGTCGCAGGGACATCGTATTCCCACTTTATACAGCCAATCGTACGCACTCGTTCACAAGACAGAGAGGTAAGAAAAATCGACGGATGCACAATCGATCCCCGGCGAGTTGGCGGCTTTTTTTTTCAAACGGACGCGCGACGTGAGCGCCACCTGCGGGGCGCGCACGTCGCGTTCGTTCGGCGGCGCGTCTAGCGTGAGTCGCGCAGCCACAGCCCCCGTATAATACGCTCGCCCATTGAATCAAGGAGTTAGTCTGAGCAAGATGGCCGGCCGGTGGAGTTCGGCCGTCTACTGCGCCGTGCTGGTCCTCGATCTGATTCTGCTGACCGAGTGCAATTACGGCGTGCGATACGGTGACAAGGCGAGGCAGCTGCATCTCGCGGAGGACAATGATTCGCCGTACAGGAAGCCGCTCATCATGGAGAGGCGGGACGCGGAATTGCGCGATCTCGATGACGAGGAAACGCCGTCGGACGGGCGGCGTACGCGCAGAAACACACTGGCGGATTTTGCAAACAACAACAACCCGAACATCACGGTGAAGGTACGCTGCCTCGGTGCGTCGTATGCGTGCAAAATGATGTACGACGCGTTGCGTCATAACGCGTAGCCGAGTCGATCGCTCGCGGCTCATAAAGCTCGTCTATACACCGAGAGAGCGAGAATAACCAGGCACGAGCAGCGAAATGCGAATTCTCCGTCGTGACAATTCGCGACAATGTGCGCGCCGAATCCGAGCGGAACGCTCTTTCGGTTATCGCCGATTTATTAGTCGTGCTTCGTCGGGAAAGAAGTTCGCGCACGTTTATACGCGAATTGTACACGTTCTTGTCGCACATTCGCTGTCCGTCCGCTCAGTGTGTACACACCTTAAAGCTGGCTGTATATCGAGCGAACGAATAAGAAATAAACAGCGAATGCAAATCCTCGTCGTTACGGTTTGGTAAATGTACGCACGCCGCGGCGAATCCATGACCGGACGACTTCGATTTGTTTATTCATTGCCCATATCGGGGGAAATTCATGCGCGTTTATTGCGGAATACACACGCTTCGTATTACGCTGGCTTTCGTGGCTCGTCCGTTCGGTGTATACCCACCTTAACGACTCGAAGGTCGCAGCGGTGCCGATAATTCTTGCGGCGCGATCGAATCCCCTGCCACGTTCGCCAATCTCTAACCCGAGATCTTTCAGCTGGCAATAAAAAAATACAATAGAGAAGAGAGATTATAATCGTGTCTCACGTACGCAGCGAGCGTGATGCGCGCGCGCGCACGATGTTTCGCACACATGGCGCACATGTGCGCAAAACACTCATACGCACGCACGTACACGCAGAGCGTGTGTTACGCCCGTACGCACCCTCCATTCGGTTCTATCGCGCCGTTCCGGGATTTTTCCCCAATGGTACGCCGACGAGGGCCGCCGCGATGGAGGAGCGTGCGCGCGCGCGCGCACAGTTTTGCGGCACACAGCCGCGGCCTTTGTGCGTCACAGCGTACGAGCGCGCCGGGGCATAATTGCCCGTATTATGTCCCTTCCGGAGTAAATTTAATCAATCTCGGCGAAACGACGGCGGTGCGTCGCGGATCCGCTCTCTGTTATTGACACGCTGAGGTCAGTAACCGCCCTGTATCTTCTTCTTCTTTTTAACATTTCCGCGATCTCTTTTTGAGGTGGCGTGTCACAAACGGCGGCTCGGTAAACAATATATTGCATCACGCTACCGCGGAGGCTGCACACGCATGCGCGCGCATACGTACTTTGCCACTGTGCTCTTTGTCACGACGAATTCGATCAACCCTGCACTGCAGTTTTGAACTTTCGAAAAAATACTCCTTTCTGCCCAATTTTTGCGCGAATTTTTTTTTTGGGGGGTTTCTTGTGGAAATATTTATTTGTGGAAAATAACGTAAATGTGGCAGACTTTAACCGGACAGGTGTGATTTTTCCAAACGAATTTTCGTAGCCTTGAGACAGAAGTCAAGAAAATTGCGAAGAAACGGTTCTTTTCGTAACTTTAATACTATAACTCGCGTTATATCAGATTAGTGCACCCTAAAAGTCCCTATGTATAAAATAGTACTATCAGTTTCAACTATCCAGATATGCGAATCTTCCAATAGGCGAGTATACTCTTAGTTTCAGACGTTACAAATCACTGACTTATCTAACGATAACAAATAATAATTATAAAAGACTCGGTATCCGGGGAGTCTCAAGATTGACAGCACTAACATAAAAACATAAATATCCAAATATAATGGTATAAAAATACTTTGATGATAAAACAATGAATGTATATTCTGCTTAATAATAAATACGTGATAATATCATTATTAGATGTAATCGTTCAAAATGCTTAAATCCTTTATTTATTTAAATAACTACTTCGTATATAGCAGCAACCTGGATAGTGCGGATGATCGAATTCGCTATCAGTGCCGTGGCACACTACGACAAAAATAAACGTAAGCAGCAAGAAAAGGTTGAACAATAAGCGAACTAATTAATGACAGCGGAGGATTTAGACATGACGGCCGTCTTACGTTCGAGCTTTATTGCTTATGAATTTCTTTACTTCATCCATCTTCTCTCTTAACGCGGCGTTTCCGGCTGTGATACAGGTTTAGATATCGCTGTTAACGATGTCCCCAGTTTCGTATCTCGTCTCGTGTCTGCATTTCAGGGTTACATTCCGAAACATTCTCGAGGAAAACTTTACTTTTAGTGGCTGTTCTGAAATTTGACGAGCATTCCCGATTGGTCCCTTTTTCAGCACTCGGAGGCCATCGAATAAAATTTTTCTCGGCAAGGACGTTTCGGGAAGTAGCTCAGGTAGATTTCTGGACACGTGTTCGAATGTTTCTTGGGACACCATATTTGCCTCATGGCTATATAGATCTGAACGCGTTCGCGAACTTTCGGCTTATAGATCTGATCTGGTCGTTTTTGAAACACAGAAAGCGAGGCTAAAACAAGCGGATCTATTATTTTAGCACCGCGTTGTCGCGTGTTTTTCCTGTTCGCCGCTGCGACTTACGACCGCGAAGGTCACGAATTTTGAGGATAATATTTTTACCCAGAATTGTATGTATTTTTCTGCATGTCGTTAAGTCACGTGACACACTTAGTCACATGTTCCGAATGGAATAAGCGTCCTTGTGTATGTGTCGGCGTAATATATGCGTGCATGCATGTACCTGGCCGCCCATACTTACGTTAACGAGGAAATTTATCGTTTGGTCGACAAGATAAGGAGTTACTTATAATGTAAAATAAAAATAGATGCGCCAACGCTGCCACGGTTTTCTTTGTATCCGTTTTCTTCCTGACTTTATTCTTCCTACAAGGATTCGTCGTGATATATGACATTTTTTTGTAACGTATCTTCGCATATCTATATCCCGAGATTTGTCTTACGCGAAAAAGTTACCCGTCCAGATATTTTCGCTCACGGTCGCTTTTGTGTGTGTGTGTGTGTGTGAGAACGCGTAAAGAAAAAATACGCGCATTATTTTCGGTGTTCTCCGCATAATTGCAACGACAAAAACCAGGCGACTCACTTTCACTTTCGGGACGAATGATTGACCTTTAACTCGGATTCCTCCGGCAATTCCTTGGGACTTTTTTTCTCCGTTCGATATTACAGCCGATTACGTAATCTGATTCCCGAAAGACACGTATTCGATTTGCTCTCCCGATTATATTGATTATAATAATGTATCGAGTGGCTCACCGGCCCGTTATAGTTATTAACCGAGACAACAGTTTCGATGTTTCTCGTGATATTGAATGTTGACCGAAGTAACAGAACATTCTATGCTGACATAAACTGCCTAACACGCAGTCTTCTTTGAATCATGCATATTCAATGACTCATCTCCCATTGCACATACGCTTTCAGCTAAAATTACTTTTAATGGAGATGTCGCGAGTGACACACACACGCGTCTTATATCCGTCTATCCGTATGACCATCCTCCACTAAATAAATCTGTGCTCGCAGCGACGTGTTGCGCGGGTTTTCCCACCGGACTATGGCGGCGAGCATTTTGCGCATTTATTATTATAATCTTCTTATTTTTAAGTAAAGCAACGGCGAATAAATCGCAGCTGTTGCAGCGATATATAAGTTTTTATTGTAGGAGAATATAAAAGTTCATTGTGAATAATGCATGTAAATTTATATATCGCTACGACAGCCGCGACTTGGCTCTTAATTGCTACTTTTTTCACTTTTATATGTTACTTTATTTCCTTAGTTGTACATACATACATTAATAGTACATAGTTACACATAGTATGTACATAGTAGTACATATATACGTTAGTAGGACCGTTTTAATATTCTTTTTTGCCTTCTCAATGTCGGTTATCTCTCATATCTGCAATTACGTATCTCGCAGTGAATATAAATGCGAGGATACTTTTATTATTTCCTGCAGCTCTGTCAACACGGTAATGTTTAACTGCACGTAATCGCGATCTTACGTAAATTTGTTGTGCGTAGGAAAAAAAATATGCCCATGAATTTATACGTCGTTTTTTCAACGCAACTTTATATAAGCACCAATCGCGATTTTTATGTAAATTTATATAATTCCGAATGTACGATAAGTGTAATAAACTTTTAGTCTCTCGCTTTTAGCAATAAAATGTAATTTTTGACGAAATGTACTTTTTACGCTACCAAATAGTCGCAATAACTTTTAAATCTTAGGGATCACGACATTTGATAGCGTTAGAAACAGTTTTTTTTTTGTTAGAAATTATGTTACAATTTAGTGCTTAGAGCGAAAAGCTAAAGGCTTACTAGACTTATGAATCCGGATCAAGGGAAATAACATAGAGAAATGTATATAAGAGTAACAGATCTCTTCATTCGTGTAACCGATAGGGATCAGAAGAAAATTCGGTAACGAGAAGCGATATCTTGTTACCGCAACCGCAATCATGCATCTGAACGCGCATTAGCTTCCTTAAAACTCAGTTGAGATAACTGAGAACAATGGACTGGATGTGAGTAGAAACCACCTCCAGGAATATTTCTGTTATCCTACAGGCGACGTTTTCTACGTGTCTGGTTCCCGTTCTCCTCAGATAACGGAAAATCCAGTTGCACTAATAGAATTGTTTTCTTTCCACACGATAAAGAGAGGAAAAATCCCGGTTCGTGTGATTAATTATCTGTTATCTGGAAACCAAATGAAAACGGAGAGATTCCTGTGGCAGGTTCCGCTTAGTCAATCGTTTGCATCGCTATCTCCGAGTTCTAAAACAGCGGATGTTCAGGAGAACGTTTATGATCACGGTGATGGAGATATCGTCTCTCGTCACCGAGCTTTTTTTTTAATCTATGCTTCCTATCTATTCGGTACACTCGATTTATTCAGTCACGCGCATTGAGATTTTCATTTCTCTGTGCATTATAGGGAAGTAAGAACGCATGCACAATCCCGTGAATTTTGCACATACTGTCTCTTTAACGCGGCCTTCGTAAGCATCAACTGAATCTTCTTTCGTATCGTTACAGGTCAACGCTTTAAATGATTCGCATCAGCAATTGATGGTGCACTGGGTCGGGGAGGGCTCCAACGTAATAATATGTCTGGCAAGGGATAGCACGCCTGTGGTGCGCTTTCAAGCAGGAAGATTCTCTTCCCCGACCCACCCCAGCGCTGTGTATATAAGCTACGACTACGGTGATACATTTCAGAACAGGACTGAGGAATTCAGGGTTTCGTCAAGTCCCAATGCTTCGTACGCGGTTGTGGACAAGTTCACCAATCATCCCAAGTTCTTTCAACATGTAAGCCTCGCTTATTTTACGAGATATATTTGACGTAATTGTTTATTTTGTAAAAGATGTATTACTAATTTTACTTATTTTATTCATTTGATATTTTACAATACGTAATTACATGTAAAATAATGTTCATACTTTATAAAATATAAAAATTTGTCTCTCTCTCTCTCTTTTTTTTTCTTTTCGTTATTTTTCTGTCGGAAGGGACACAGTTACTGAGATCTCTCGTTTCTTTGCAGTGTGTTTTCGTGGACAGTTCGAATAGCCTGATATTTATTACGACCAATAACGGGATGAATATTCTGAGGTCTTCGGTACCGTTCCACCCGAGTGAAATTTCATATTACGACTCAGATCCACGTGTGCTCGTTGCGTTGGACAAGATTGATTCGATGCGAAAGGTACGAGATTAAGCATACATAACTACACATGTTTTGGCTTTATTGCTACTCAATTCCGTTTTATGGAGGTTCATAAAAAATATATTGTGTATCGCACTTTGAAATATTTCGTTTTCAGTTATGGTTGTCGGTCGATCGTGGAATGGTGTGGATACCGATTCATCAATATGTAAAGGCTTTCTTCTGGTCGCCCTGTCAAGTTTTATACGTGGAGCGTACAGAACCCACCGGGTCGAATACCGTTTTAAAGTTGGATATCAAGAATTTACTGGCGTACCAGCGGAATGTTAACAATAACCTGCGAATAAGAATGTCCATACGAAAAGAATTCGTCCTGGTTATCCAGAATGTCGAGGACTTTCAAATAAGAGGCGATTATATGTTCGCCACTATGAAAAATTCTAAGGCAGGTGTTAAGGTGTTGCATGAAATTTCCCGCGTGCGAACTCAACCTTTTATCAACTGTTGCTTTTCTGTCCGACAGAACGGGACATCGGAACACCTGGATCTTTACATCTCCTACAAAAATCAATCGTTCGTTATGGCACATTTCAACACGGAATTGGACTGCAAGGATTACCATATCGTCGACGTGTCGTCCAATCGGGTCTTCATCGCGGTATCGCACAGTGAAACCATGGTGAACCTTTATGTGTCGGAGGTTATAGATCACGAGAAAGCCGTATTTACCTTGTCTTTGGACGGCATCCTCACATTCTTCCCCAACAGCACTTGGAAGGACAGCTGGCTAAAGTGAGTAACAAAAAGAAATAATAAAATTGAAAGGCTGCGGATAACCTTTCGTTTGAATCTTTCCGTTTCGATCGCGCATTTCTTTACACAGTGATGTGGCGGACGAGGCGTTCACGGATCTGTACAAGGTCGAGGGTCTTCGCGGCATATACATAGCGTCGCAAGTCAAAGGCGCCCCGAAATCGGGCTCAATCGGGCCGGAGCACCTGGCGTCGGTGATCACCTTCGACCACGGCGCCACGTGGAACAGCATCAAGTCTCCAACGGCGAATCACGAGGGCTTCTACATGCATTGCACGAGCAAGGAGTGCTCGTTGCACTTGAGTCAAAGGTTCAGTCAGCTCTATCCGGTGACGAGGTCCGTCACGATCATGAGCTCGAAGTCGGCACCTGGAATAATAATGGCTACCGGCGTGGTCGGGCCTAGCTTGAAGGGTCACCCCGCGCTGTACGTGTCGCGAGACGCGGGTCTCACGTGGAAGCAGGTGCTGAAGGACTACTACTTCTTCAACATGGGCGATCACGGCGGCCTGTTGGTGGCGGTCAAGTATTTCAAGTCGCGCGGCGAGACCAGGGACATCTCGTATTCGACCGACGAGGGCGAGACCTGGAAGACGTACGTGTTCAACGAGAAGATGCTACGAGTCTACGGTCTTATGACTGAACCCGGCGAGAACACCACGGTGTTCACCATGTTCGGCTCGGACAGCGGACAGCACCAATGGCTGATAATCAAGGTCGATCTGCGAAATGTGTTCGAGAGGAACTGCACGGAGGACGACTACAAGTTCTGGTCGCCGTCGAGCGACGACCAACCGGTGATGTCGTGCGTGTTGGGCCTGAAGGAGACGTACCAGAGACGCGCGTTGCGCGCCAACTGCTACACGGGCGTGAATTACACCCGGCCGATGAGGCCGGAGATCTGTCCGTGCGACGCGAACGACTACCAGTGCGACTACGGCTTCGTGCGCGTCGGTAATCCTTACCACTGCATCCGCAACAAGTCCATCCCCGAGTACGACCCTTACGCCGTGCCGAGCACCTGCAAGTCCGGCGATTTCTACAATCGCACGAAAGGCTACGTGAAGATATCCGACGACGATTGCAAGGGCGGTCTCGCGAGGAACTTCGAGCCCGACGAGATACCCTGCCCGATGAACGAGCGGCGTGAGTTCCTATTGGTCGCTCAACGGGAACACATATCGCGCATCAACCTGATCGACGAGAAGCTGGAGACCCTGCCGGTGCACGGCCTGAAGAACGTGATCGCCATAGAATTCGACCTGAAGAACAATTGCCTATACTGGGCGGACATCGTGAACGACACCATCGGCAGGCAATGCCTGCGGGACGGCACCAGTTACCCGGAGATACTCGTCGAGACCGATCTGAGCTCCATCGAGGGCATGGCCTTCGACTGGGTGTCGAATGTGCTCTATTTCGTGGACGGCGTGAAGATGAGGATACAGATCATTCGAACGGACGTCTCCACCATGGGCAGGATGCGCAGGACGATATTGGGGCCGAACAATCTGCAGAAACCCCGCGGCATCGCGGTGCACCCCATGAACGGCTACATGTTCTGGACCGATTGGGCGCCCGGCAACGCCTCGGTGTCGCGCGCCAACCTCGACGGCACGGACGTGAAGCGGCTGTTCGTCAAGCCCACCGTCGAGTGGCCGAACGGGATAACGATCGACCACATCGCCGAGCGCATTTACTGGGTGGACGCGCGCGCCGATTACATCGGCTCGTCGGACTTGGACGGCAAGCGCTTCAAGAAGATCATCGCGAACGACGAGCGCGTCTCGCATCCGTTCGCGGTCGCCGTCTTCAAGGACAACATGTACTGGGACGACTGGAAGCAGTCGATGATCTTCGTGGCCAACAAGGATCACGGTGTCGGCATCGCGACGATAATCGGCCAGCTGTCGGGCCTGATGGACCTGAAGATCTTCGCGCACAGCGTGCAGATCGGCACGAACGCGTGCGCGAACAACACGTGCTCGCACATCTGCCTGGGCGCCCCGCGCTCCAGCCAGGTCTGCCTCTGTCCGGACGGCATGGTGATGCAGGATGACAAGTGCATGTGCCCGGGCGGCGTCACCCCGTACCAAAACTCGACGTGTCCGCGCATCGCGAGCACGTGCTCGTCGAACCAGTTCGCCTGCCACAACGGCGTCTGCATACCGGAGTTCTGGAAGTGCGACGGCGACAACGACTGCGGCGACAGTTCGGACGAGATGCTGTGCAATAAGGCGACCTGCAGCCCGAACAACTTCGAGTGCGACGGCAAGTGCATACCCCGTTACTGGGTGTGCGATCTCGACCGCGACTGCAAGGACGGCGCGGACGAGAAGAACTGCACGTACTCCAGCTGCACGACCGCGCAGTTCAAGTGCGAGAACGGCCGGTGCATCTCGCACCGTTGGCGGTGCGACGGCGAGGACGACTGCAGGGACGGCTCGGACGAGAAGGACTGCACGAGGAACGTGTTGCCGAGCACCTGCAGGTCCGACGAGATCGCCTGCAAGAAGGAACGCTCGTGCATACCCACCGCGTGGAAGTGCGACGGCGAGCCCGACTGCGAGGACGGCCTGGACGAGGCCGAGTGCGACAACATGGTGTGCGAGCCGTGGCAGTTCACCTGCAACTCCAGCAAGGAGACCCACCGGTGCATCTACAAGTCGTGGGCGTGCGACGGCGACAAGGACTGCGCCGACGGGTCCGACGAGCTCAACTGCACCGCCACCGTCAAGCCGACGCCGTTCGTGCCGATAATGCCGACCAACTCCTGCAGCGACTGGATGTTTATGTGCAACAACAAGAAGTGCGTGCCCTACTGGTGGAAGTGCGACAGCGTCGACGACTGCGGCGACGATTCCGACGAGATAGGCTGCAGCAACGTCGACCCCTCGCTCGACCCCGTGCCGCCCCACTCGACCGAGCAGCCGCGAGGCTGCCGTGAGCATCAGTTCCAGTGCTACAACGGCGACTGCATCGAGAACTCGTGGGTGTGCGACGGCTCGAAGGATTGCCCGTCCGGCGAGGACGAGATGCGCTGCGACCAGCTGCACATGTCCTGCCAGGACGATCAGTTCATGTGCCGGCGGGACGGCTCGTGCGTGCCGCTGACCAACATCTGCAACGGCGTCGAGGAGTGTCCGGACGGCAGCGACGAGCTCGGCTGCTTCATGGACCACGAGTCCAGCCCCGCCGCCGGGCCGTCCTGTCTGGTCGGCCTGTTCCCCTGCGACGAGACGCGCTGCTTCCCCTTGGCGTCCTACTGCGACGGCAACCAGGACTGCTTCGACGGATTCGACGAGAACAACTGCGAGAAGAACAGCTCGCGCGTCTACCAGGTGCTGGTGATGGGCGTGGACGAGCGCTCCATCAACGACACCAGCTTCTTCCTCTTCTGGTGGATGCCGATCCCGTCCAACGTGACCTTCGAGTTCCTGCCGTCGATCGCGCGAGCGGCACCCGCCGCCAAGTGGACCAACGCCAGCGAGTGGATCGAGGAGACCGATTACCAGTTCAACAACCTCGAGCCGTACACGCGCTACAACCTGACGGTGTACGTGAAGCTGAAGGGCCAGAACACCGTCTTCCCGCCGGCCAAGTATCTCATCGTCATGACCGGCGAGGGCGTGCCCTCCAAGCCATGGAACGTCACCGTCACCCAGAAGAACGGCACCCGCGTCGAGGTCTCGTGGCGGCCGCCGACGCGGCCGAACGGCCTGATCATCGGCTACCAGGGCTACATCACACCGCCCATACCGCCGATGGAGTTCTCCCGGCAGAAGACCTCGGCGATCATCGACATGGCCTTCGAGGCCGACAAAAATTATTCCTTCTGGATCGCCGCGAGGAACCGACAGTACGTGTCGGCCTCGTCGGAGGTGGCCACCTTCACGTTCGACGGCTCGGCGAACATCGACGACATCGAGGATCTGAAAGTCCTCGGCACGACCAATCACTCCGTCACCCTCAGGTGGAAGAAGTTGAAGGACGTCGACTATTATCACGTTACGCCCCGGGGACCCGCGTCGTATCCGATCCTGCAGACCGTCACGGTCACGAGCAACGAGGTGGAAATTAAGAAGCTCGCACCCGGCACGAACTACACCTTCGAGGTCGGCGCGATGAAGAAGCAGTACGCGGGTAAGCTCGCCATGGTGGTAGCCACGACGAACGGCACCATGCTGCCGATGATCACGAAGCTCGACGCGCAATTGGTCAAGTCTCAGAGAACGACCGTCAAGCTCACCTGGGATCCTCCGAAGAGCCACCTGAAGATCAAGTGGCAGTACGCTGTTCACTACGCCATCAATATGATCGACTTCTTCAAAAGTAAGATTCCTGGTGCGCCCACGTGAAAATCTTGCGTTAATATTCCGAGGCCGACGTTAATTTGTTGTTTGAATCGGGAAGTTTGCGTAAAGTTGCTTAAGAATCCTAGATCGACGTTGAAACGTCGAATGTCAGGGATTGGACGAATTTCGATTCTAGACGCGATTCTAGGTAGAACTGAAGGTAGAGCGGAAAAGTCTTTTACCATTTTGCAATCAATTTTGTATCAATTTCCAATAAAGGACGTCTTCGTTCGCAGGTTACAAGTTCGTCACGACTAATCTCACGGCTACGATCAAGGATTTGGAAGCATGCGAGTCGTATTTCTTCTCCGTCGGTGTAAATGGAGATTACGGGGCGGGACCGTTGAACCAACCAGTATCAGTTGCGACGCACTTCAACAAGCGTGCACCTCCGAAGAGACTGCGGGTAACACCGTCACCGGATAAAAACGATAGTTTTATCGTCTCGTGGTACGCGAGTTGCCCAACGATCGACGAGCCGATCAGTTATACGGTAAGTCAACGAAGTCGATAGCATTCATATAGATTACCTCTAATCTCACACTTGTGTGTCGAAGCGAAAAATTCCGATCCTACAGTTTTATCGGATCTTGAACGAGTAGAAACGTAGAATTCTTTTCTTAAAACCCACAAAATTCTTTACTTCTTTCTATATAGAATCGATATACTTAACATCTTAAATCTTAAATTATCTACTTAAAAAGAAAATGTTCGTGAGAAATTTCCCAAATTTACCTTTTTGTATATTGAAAATCATATAACATCTATTTGCTGAATAAACGTTTATAAATATTCAAGGCATATCAGAAAAGTGACGGGTGGATCTCATAGACCCGGTATACTAAACTAAGCAGCAAAAAATATAATAAATGCGCCAACGAAGAGTCAGCATTTTTCGCATCTGTATATACATAAGAAAAGTATCGAGATATAAAAGAAATTTTACATCATTTGTTAACACGTTGAGTGCCACGTCAGTCACCGGTGACTGACAGTATAAAGTACGATATAAAACTAAAAAAATTACATAGTTTAATAAGTAATTTCAGGATCGTATAATTAATATACTTAAATATTTCTTATCAAAAAAATTTTTATTTTTTGGCCTGAACGAGATTTCCTCCGAAATGCGCGGTGGCACTCAACGTGTTAAACTCAAGTCAAATATTTCTCCCTCGTTTATTTGTCATTTATTACAGTGTCATGTATTTTCATCTCGTTTGTAGATTTCTGTCATGGAAATGGTTCGCAAACAGGCGGCGGTCGTGACGTTGCCGCCGACTAACGAGACAGTCATGAAGCACACGTTTAATTCGCTCAAGTACGGCGGGAAGTACAGTATTACGGTGGCAACCGACGTCGAGAATGCCATACCTAGCCAATCGTTCGTTTACGTAGCGCCGGCGATTAAGCCGCCCCATCAGCTAAGTGTTTTACGTAATAATCGAGACTATTATATTTACTGGCAAGAACCAGACCTGCCGGAGAGCATCAGGAATAACAGTTGGCACTACGAAGTTCTGGTAGACGAGGGCTCGAGGGCGATAAACGAGTCGGACGCGAAGGTCTTGTGGGCTGATCAAAAACCACCTTACATCTACAAGGACGCCAAAACGGACACGATTTATACATTTGCCGCGCGAGTAGTCACCGCCGATGGATACAAGAGCTCGTTAAGTGAGACCTGGAGCACGCAGATATCTAGTAAGTCTCGGTATAATAATTCTTAATAATTCTCCCCTCCTTTAGATGTTAGTTGACATTTCTTTTTTTTTTTTCATATTTACTTTTAAGTTTATATTCTTATTTATTTTTCCGGCTGAAGCCGGAATATTTTTCCCATCGTTTAGTGCAAATTTAGAGTAATAATTTTTTGGGATTTATATATACTGGGAAATCAGATTTTATTTGGGAATAAAGGATAAACTTCGATATTTTAAGATTCTCTACGCAATCCGGAATATATTACGGACGTACAGTAACATTTTCAAGCATAATATCCTTCCACAATAAATATTAATATTGACAATATCAGTATATCTAATGGTACTAAAAGTGCCGTGTTCGGCTCCTAAAGACCCATAAATCATTCGCTGCTTATTTATTTTACTTAGTTAATCGGTTACTTATTTAGTTTATTTCTTTTGTTCGTTGATTTTTAATCAACGAGCCTGTTGCTGCGATGCTTCAATTAATTCTGCTTTTCCCTTGTGTATTCAGCAGGAGCGCAATCCGCGGTGATAATGAGCACGTCGAACATATTGTCCCTCGCTATACCGATTTGCTTACTCGTCGTAGCGCTCGGCTCGGCGCTGGCGTATTTCGTTATACGACATAGGAGGCTATCCAATAGTTTCACGCAATTCGCCAACAGTCATTATGACACGAGGCGAGGTCAAGCTACTTTTCCAGGCACAACGGATGGCTTAGGTGAATCTTGTCTTACATTTGAAAAATGCGAGCGTAAAAAAAATGTAAACTAATATCATTAAACTTCTTTCCCATTCGTATTTTTCTGTCTTTTCCGATTTCTATGAAGATCAGTTCAGAGATTATTATTACTTATCACGGATTTTTCTGTGATCTCTGACTACGTTTACACGGCAACGTTAATACAGCTTGGTAACGCAACAAACGTAGTTAGTGAACTCTTTGTGTGCGATTGGTATATTTCTTTATATGTGAAAATATTACACTAAATTAAATGCGAGAGCTCACTAACTAATGTTGTTATTAAACCGGATTAACGTTGTTGTTGTGTTAATAAAGTTTCTGATACATTACGATTAATCCACGCATCAAAATAAATTCCTATTGAAGTCCTTTCGAAACGGTTTATAATCGGAAAGAATTAACGATTCTCTTTCTTTCTGTGCGACAGAGGAAGAAGACAGCCCTGTGATTCGAGGATTTTCGGATGACGAGCCATTGGTAATCGCATGAAAAGCATATATAACGTAACCAGGATATTTACATGCTAGGAAGAATGTGCCAAGCCACTAATTGATATGATAATTTCGAATATATATATATATATATATATTTATATAAAACTTTATATATATATATATATATTTATATAAAACTTTATGAGAAGGTGGAAGGTTTTTATGAAAGCGTCTCAAGACTGACTACGTTCCGTTAACTGCAGTTGTGCTAGACAGGGCGATTCGGTGAACGGGTCGTGCAGAGGGCTTACATGAAAGCTTTTCGTGCAATTCATACGTTGTAGAAATATGTGCTACGTACATCACGAATGAACCGGAAATTACTGCTGATTTTAACATTACAAACTTGGACGATTGTGGCTTGAAATTGTAGCTACGATGGAATGTCGGAGTTGAACAAAAGAGAGAGAGAGAGTATGTGTGAGGGAAAGCAGTTTGTACATATAGTAAATATTTTTATGGATCGATTGTGAGATTTTCGAAATGCTACACATTTATCGATGCATTTTTAATATTGTATTTATATCACCTGTACATGTGTGTGTGAAGAAACTGTCGAAACCGATATTCAGATCTGTCGATATGAGAGCGAATTTCCACACACTGGGCGGACTTCTTTTTTTTATATTTAAAAAAAAAGTTGTTTTAGCAATATCTACAGCAGATGCCATAAGTTTTTTTCGTACAGCGAATGCACGACCAAAGTAACGCTTTCTTCTAATGCCGCACTCAACGAACGTATTGTTGGTTAAACACAACGAAAAGAAGGCAACAAATTTATATAAAGATATGAGTAAAGCCTTCATAATTTTCTTTTGCTCACAATTACAATACATTTTCGTGGCGTTTCGGCTGTTGGGCGAGACGAAGCCCAACGGGAAATTTATAAGTTGTCATCCTCGCTGCGATTGGTTCTATCAGGTTTGATGCGGCATTGAAAGAAGTTTTCGTAGGCGAATTCCAGTCTTACGAAGGGGTCACGCGACCCTCGAGTGGAAAGTGCTACAGTCACTACAAGGATCGCCGAATATTCCGATAATTGCGCATAGAGTTATATGTAATAAGGGTGAACCGAGCGTGACGAGTTTGGGGAGCGATTTGAATGTTAGTGTTAAGTATAAATCATTTCGTGAAATGTCCAAAAAAGAATATTCGATTGATCGTGTTTCGTGCGTATAAAATGGATCACGTATTTTGCGCCTTTCGTTTTCACAGTAACGCGCTATTTTGCAGACGTCGAACGACACGTTTGTTAAATCGTTTCTAGCCCAAATCAGAAGGTGGGTTTTAAGTCTTGAGACTTCGGCGAGAAAGCGACATGCTCGAAGACTCTTTCGGCGCAGACGAGATAGCAGCGCGTAGCGGCACCGTGTCGTGGTTTCTAGATTATTGTAAATAATGTTGAAACGTTTTCTCAAGTGTGCGTGTAATATCACAGTTTAAGGTTTCCTGATTCTTTGTCATGGTCATTGGGATTGTTATTTATTTATTATCTGACAGAAAGAAAGTTTTCCAGATATTTCGCAGATCTAATTAATCGCAAGCGTCATTTAATGGACACGGCTGCATTCAGAGATACAACGGCGAGTGCATGCTCCTTTTCATTTGAATACTCTTCTAGATCTGTCGTGGAATATCTTCTAGATTTAAAAATATCTCAATCAGAAGCAACAATCACTCGTTAGTTGTACAACTATTAACACGTTCATTGCCAAGCTGAAAATTGTAATTTCGTGTGGCCAAATTTTTTATTTAGTTTTTATTGTGCTCAAAATAAGTTAATATATTATTTATATGCTTTTATTATTATGTACATAGAATTTATTATGTACATAAGATGTATTCTAAATATTTATTACGCGATAATGCGTGCTCGGCCGTTTGGTGAGAACTCGCATCACGCGATATCGCATGATTGGCAATGAACGTGTTAAGACTATTCTACAATACACGGTATATCGGGGTCGGATGTCGGAACGCAGCCGATGATCCAATGAGAGAATTTATTTTTCGGAAACGAATTCTCCTTATTGGATTCGGCTGCGTTTCGACATACGATGTATTGTAGAACAGTCCTTACGGCCATTGCGCGTGGAGAAGATTTAGTCGTAACCGTGGAATCGCAAGCAAATTGACCGATCCCAGTCGATTATTTTTCTTTTTCAGTCCAAGAATAATCGACTGTAACTGGTCAATTTGCTTACGGCCTTATGATACGATAAAAATTTCCATGTGCAATGATTTTTATACTTTCTGAATGCGTTCTATATTTTTTTTGCTTGAACGTATCTTGCAAGAATTTCGAGTATACATTGTCTCACTTCTAACATCGATCAAGATGGTTGCGGCGAAGAAACGGGGGCCTTAATTCACGCTGGATCTACTCTCATCGATAAAAAGAGAGGAATTTTCGATTCGAAACGCTCCGCAGTCAGTGTCTGATACGGTTTCCACATTAAACAGTCCGACGGGCGAAGAGAATGCAGAGAGACGAGCTCGACTCTATTCGCGATCGATTTGCTTTTTCATTCTTTTTTTCAATTGTAAAAAAAAAGCAAGCGTATGACGTTGCGAGTTTCTACAAACGTTTAAGCCGAGTTCACTTGTTCTATTCGAATCGATGTTGCGGAGTGGTAAAATTGCGAGACGAACGCGTGAAGTAGTCATTGACAGTGGGTGATAGTATCTTGAAATTACCGTTCCATCGTTCCGTGCTACTGTTTTTAAAACGTGTAAATTAATTTCAATCTGGTCGACATCGGGAGACATACAATTCGCATAATATATATTTGCTCATATTTTTTTTTAGCTTTTCGCTCTTACGTTACTTGACGACGGAATGGGAGATAGAGGGAGAGAGGCGTGTAGACGGAATGACGGTGGATCGACGAAAAGGCAATATTTAAACAGTATTACGGAAAAGCTCAATTTTTTTTTTTACGCATCAGCACTAACGCCAAGATCGCCGCGCGTCTTTTCGTGTGATCTAATAATTTAATAAAGTATTTCTCAACCGATATTTAAAACGCTGGAGTGCGTGCGCTCTCAATCCACCTGTGTGTCGACGGTTCTTGATCTATTTCCCCTCTTTTTCGATGTGTTGTTAAATGTCAGAGACGAGAACAACGGACGGATTTTGACGTGTTTTTAAATATATATTAGCAAAGACGATAATTAGAAGAATAGCTTTTACGTGTACATCTCAAGGGTTGCATAGTGACACGAAACAGTGATATATATATTATATATAATATATTTGCGTGTAAATATATAAATAAAGTTAAGGCACAGAATATATTATGATTAAATTTTTATTTAGGATCCCTCACTGTATTTTAACATACAAGCATTTTTTAATACATGTTTTAAACTTACTAAACGTTTGATTTAATGGAAATACGTATCTTCTAGAAGATTGAAATTATTTTTACACGAAATAATACATACTAAATTTATAATCTTTTTTAAGTGCTATCGAAAAATTACAAACAAATAAATTTGACATTGTTTTTTATGGAAAATTTCGTAATATTGAATTAATGTAGATAAATAAGAATAATTAAAAAGGCTACTACATGGAATTAAACGGGACATCACATAAAACGATACATAGGGAACATAAAAAAATTAAAAAAATACACGAACATTTATATTCTTCCAAAATAATAATTTTTACATNTAATTACTTTTAAAATAATATTTGGTTTAATTAAACAAATAATATTTGGTTAAATTCAACGATTACGGAAAAATGTATCTTACGCAAATTATATTGTGATAAATTACAAGGATAACTTTGTGTGTCTTCGATATCGATATATTTCGTTGATTTCTTCGTATTTCTCGTTTATTTCTATAAATATTCCAGTTTATTTTCATACATCATTTTTTAATAATAATAATAACCAACAGCTCAAATTTCAATAATTATAAAGGCTTTATAAATGTTATATCGACTTAGCTCTTACTTATTATTCAAATACCAAAGTTAGAAAGTCTTTCTATTCGCCTTTATTCAGTTAACATTCGCAAGCTCTTTAAATATATTCAATTATTCTTCCATGTAGACTCGCGTATCATTACAAATTCCAAATTTAGTAAAATAAATCATAATTTATTTTCCGGTTCATGACGCTAGAAGTATTATTCAAAGTTATTTGGCAATTTGACACGAGACGTTTTCCAAAAATACGTCAAAGTTTTCATCGGGCTCCAAGTGCAGAAGCTCGCAGGTGTAATCCCAAAGATCCTTGGCCATTTTATCACTTCTTTTCCTCAATGTTGTGACAGGACGGCATTCCCTATCAAAATCATGCGAAGCACGTATTAAAATCAAAACATAAATAATTATAAAAAAGGATTCACAGCGATATTTTCAAGGGAGACACTATATCTATATATTGTTGTGATTTGCAAGAGAAAAATATTTAGGATTGCATAAGTAGTTCTTACTTGTAATAAAGACCGGTTTCATCAGCGGCATTTTCGTCCACTGAGCAATATATCGTTGTTTGTGCTCCTTCTTCTACGTTTTTGATGAACGGTCGCATAATATATTGGAAGAAAAACTCCGCACCTGGGATAATCGTGCGATTGAAATTTCGGCTCAATTGTGTTCTTATAACACCAGGATGCAAAGAATACACATTTATTCCATTGATTTTCGCCTCTGGAAATGGAAGTTTTATTTCAAACGCTAATGTACATATACACATGTACACACATTCATAGATATATAAACGCAGTTGGCAGAAAGATTGCAACACTTTGTTTTTCGATGAATTTTACAAGACATTTCATATCCAATAAAAAAACGTATCTTTTGAGAATTACCAAAAACAAATTGACCTACTAAGTTGCGAAACTTGTAGAAAAAAATATATTACAATTTTTCATTTATCGGTTGTGTATACACTCGGCAACATTGAATCATTCAGCAGCCTTGTTTACATCGCTCGACTGATTGCTAACGATTGATGAATATATGGAAGATACATGAAAGGGGAAGCGCCCCTTCCGGTCCCATTTATTGTCGAGTGTATCAATGATTTTTTAAAACACATATGATTCTCTCATATAGATGTTACTACGAAAGAATGATCGGTTGTTATGTCGAAATGTATCACTCTTGAACGGTGATTTGATGTGCTACATTAATATTTAGTTAACCCCTTGACATACAAATAAAACGGAATTTGATACGTCTGAAAAATACTATTTAATTTTGCTCAATGAACAGTTATGTGTAAGCTTAGAAACAGAACTTTTTATTTTGAAATTTGCATCGCTATATAACATTTAATCAGATTGATATATAATGTTAGTGTGATATGATATGTCAGCACTTGAATAGTCAATAGTGTGAATATTTTGATGACTGTTTTCAATCTCATTATCATCACTAGAATAGCCCATTAGACCTTTATCGTCATTTTCATACAATACACTCAACTCAGACATGTTACAAGGATTATTTCTAATGTTTACTAAATTCAAATATATAATATGGCATTCGCCGTGCGAGATCACTGCTATACTGAATACTGCTTTCAATGTACTTCTTTCTGATTTACTGGTTTACCGATGCGATTTTGTAATCGGTACTATTGAAAAGGGGGTAGCATTTAGAACATTCTAAACAAAACAGAATCGACGCACAAGTGAAACAATCAAATAAACTAATAATATACTGCACGGCGTCCGTCGGAGGCAGTTCTTGATGTCTCGGAGACGTCAAAGTCTATAATAGCACGTGAAATGAATGATGTCTCCCAGACGTCATTATATGTCAAGGGGTTAATTTAACCCATAATTTAACATAAGTCGATCGCAATATCTTTTTCTTCGTCGACTTTTTCTATTTGCTTACCTCTCAATCGACAAGCGAGTTCTCTGGTAAACAATATGTTTGCTGTTTTACTTTGACCGTAACGTTTGAGGGGAAAACATGAATTCGTGAGGTTTATGTCATTAAAATGTATATTCCCAACTGAAACAATAATTACAATTGTTTTGATTATCTCTTTCTTTATCAGATATTATTACAAGAAAACCAAAGAACAAACGTATGTGAGACATCTAAAGGCTACGTAATTCTATTATCTAAAGTTTGCAGCTTCAACTCAAGTTATATAGTTGGCGTCATGTATGATGTACTATTCCATAGGTTAAATTAAGTTACGTTCTCTTACAAGGAAAGGCCACAAAGTATGAGTCACCGATTTTGACAGCTTTTAGTATAGACCTTCTTCATCGAAAACAAATAGATACATGTCTCGCCGTTTGTCTAGATACTCCCCCGTTTTCGAGAAAATCAAGGTCATGGTGTCGGATCCGTTCGGACCAGGGGATAGAGATCTTTAAAAATTAATCAAATTTCATTAATATATTTGGTAGGTCGGAAACCTATATTTTTCGAGTTATTAAGGATTATATATACACCTGGTGTAGCATAAATTTCCTCACAGAAATTTTTATTGATTTAAATTGTATATATATTTTAGTGAACCGGAATCGGAACTGGACCGATATTTTCATTCGGTCAGGGTTCCTGATTTCAATATAATACAGAGTTCAATGCTTTCCGTTTAAGAGAATTTAACTTAATCTGCAAATTTGCCTTCAAGTTGCATTTTGCTGGTACAGACGTACCAGACGTACAGGTCGTATGAGACAAACACTTATTTTATGTTTCTTATTACAACGCGTTCGCAAGAAATTGTATCTGTAACGAAGAACTGTGATCTTCATAGCTCAATAGGTCAAATGGTTTTTTCCTTGTTGTTGCTCAAGATACATACATATACTTTGAAACTTACGTAAGAAATTCTCATGCTGCAGTGTGCATAAATTTCTTGAAATGATATGACCAGTTCAACCAATTTAATTAAATATTAATAAATCATGAACCATTTAACTTTGAATATATTTTTATTAATAGTACGGATGGAGTTCCTAATTGTTGGAATGTTAGGTGTCATTGGAAAACACGAGCGGAATAAGATAGAAGAGAAATATTAACTGTATCATTTTCTAATATACTATTCCAATTGAATATATCAACTTATTCAAAATATAGCGTTTCTAACCTTCGCAACTCCGTAATTAATAAAATTATAATATTATTGGAAGTAGGATAATATTATTGAAACAGAATAAACAAAAAAAAAATAGCAAAGTTCCTGTGCCATAAAAAATCATAAAAACTATGAACAATATGACTCGAATATCACTTGTCACAAGTAAATTAATACATTCAGATGTTTATAGAAAAGATCATAGCACATCGTTCATTAATAAAAAGTTGCTAGACAAAGGAGAAAATAATATTTATCATACTTGTTTTTTATCTCCGCGTTCTCCAGTGTTTTTTTTCTTAACACGTCAATATATTGACAATATATGTAGAATAAAGTTTAATGATGGAGAGTTACGCGATTCTTGGCCTTACACATAACACGTAAGGTTGAAAATTGCGGGAGAAACTCTAGTTATAACAATAGTGTTATAATGGCTCTAATTATAGTAGTTCCAACCTCATGTATACGCGCGGAAGGCTAAAAATCATGTAAACAATTTCAATCTAGATAATGATGCAGCATACATGATGCTGACTGTATTACGTACAAAAGTTTGCGACCGACGACAGGTTCACTATCCTGCAACCAGGAGCGGACGATCGTATTTTCGGTAATAGCAAGAGCGTTAAGAGAAAGTGACTGAGGTAATTCGTTTGTAGTTGTGCCTCAAAGCCGTCCTCCGTTAATGCATACGGGGACATCATTATACCGGCATTGTTCACGAGTATGTGAATAGCCGTTTCCTCCTTAAGCAAACGTTTGGCGCAATCCTTGACGCTCCTGAGACTGCACAGATCTAGAACGTAAATTTCAAGCTCACCTGCTCCTTTTTGGTACTCGCTCTTCTCGATTCTAAAAAATATCGTGGGCTTGATTCGTTAATTCCGAACGACCGAACAGTTGATGGACGATTTGGTCTGTAGAGATAATAATGTGTTTAGATATTATTTTTTTATAAATTTACCCTGAGGGTGGATTATTTTTTATGTTTTCGACTGCTTTCTTTGCACTTTCCATATTTCGACAAGCCAGTATCACCCTTGCGCCTAAATAAAATGACTTACAATAATCTGTTTCTTCATGATTAGGTTATAAAAATTAGATTTTTTCGTATTGATATTTTCAACGCTATGGTCCGTCTAATAAGAGCGTGACCGACATCATTTTTAAGCTATTCATTATAAAGAAATAAAAATTACACACGTAGCACTCAATCGGTACTATAACGCTATTATGTTAGTAAATTGCCAACGGCAGTAACTGATTAAATATGATTGAATATAATGGCGGTAATTAATTGAATATGTACCGTATTCGCCAGATTTGGTCCTTCTGACTTTTTTTTGTTTTCAAAGTTGAAGAAATGGCCGACTGGGAAACAATTTTCATCAAATATTGAAATCATCCAAACTATAGATGGATATTTCGAAGATTTAGATAAATTTTATTTCAATAATAGAATAAAAAGTCTTGAAAAGCGTTGAACTAAATGTATCGATCTTAAAATATACTATATTGAAGAAAAAAGTGATTTTATCCCAAAAACGATGTTTTCTTTCTCGTTCCAGAAACTTTCCGATTTACATACATCGTCGTAGAGGAAGAACCCTTCTACCTGACCGTTCAAAAGTTTTCGATATAACATCTAATCAAGCAAAAATTGCTCGGTCATGTTCTAATTAGACAGATAAATATTTTTATAATAATTTTTATAAAACGGCGCCTTCTCACACACACACACACATCAGACAATAAAATTATTCTCTCTATTACAAAATATTAATTTTATTATTGGCCACATTATTAATGTCAATTTTTGATATCCTGTTAAATTTAGCATCTTCTTTTCTTAGTACGACCAAGCATTTACAAAAATATGCGTATTCTTTATCTCGGGATTGACTGTGTATATGCAGAATCCGTAAAGAATCGTTACTTTTTATAAAAATTATCAAATTAATTATCAGCTCATACTGTCATTTCCTTTCAACGCGTTAGGTATCGACTTACCTCTTCTGTAAAAATCTCTGGCGGTCTCCTGGCCAATACCGCTATTTGCTCCAGTTATAACTGCAGTTTTGCCCTCAAGTCGTATTTTGCTGGTACAAGTTGCATGAGATATACCCATATTTTATATTTTTTATCACAACGTATTCGCAAGATATCGTAACACGAGGACCTGCGATCTTCAACTGGGCTACTAGTCTGAAGGTCTTCTTCTCTGAACCTCTCTCTCAAGACACACACATATATATATATACAATATTGAAACTTACGTAAGAAATGATCTTACGCATCAGATTCATCGTCATTCAGGTAACGAATTAATTGATACGGAATATATTAATATTATTACCAATACTAACTACTAATACTACTGTGTAACAAATGATTACCATATACATATACATGTACTACATACTTATTTAAATAATTTAACTTTAAACTTTAAACTTTTTCAAAACATAATCAATGTTCAATAGGAAAATTTATTTTTATGATATCATATTAACCTTTTATCTTACAAGGTCATGTTAGAGACGTTGTATGTCAACCGGGCCGAACATAAATAAGTCGTATCAGAGACGTGGTAAGTCAACCGCGCCACTTCTCAGAGACGTTATAGAGTTAATCGGGCTACATTACATGTACCAATATGTTTTGAAAGATATCATACGATTATTAAATTTTTGTAAATTTTATTAAGACGATGATATTCTCCAATATCTGTTTATTTAGAAATAAAAATAAAAATGTTATTAATTTATTATTCACTTCAAGACAATAAATCTTTCTTGTTCAATGATCAATTGATCGTAATTATTTATCAGACATCTTGCAAAGTAAAGTGAATTGTACCTTACACATTTACAAATTATAGGACTGCAATTTGCACAGCTTCGAACGCTCAGCTAAACCGTAAATAACTGCACGTATACCCGACCACGTAGTCACTTACGGCGCCATTGAAACTTAAATCATAAGGCAAGGAGTTAAGTGAGTTTTTCTCATTTGACATTAAATGGGCGTAACGTAAAAACACGAGTGATTGATGTCCAGTAAAAAAAGTTGTTATATCATATTAAATGAGTTTTTCTCATCTGATATCAGATGGGCGTAACGTATAAATACATATAATCGATGTCCAGTAAGAAAAGTTGTAAGAAAAGTTGTTATGATATCATATTAAATGAGTTTTTTTTTCATTTATCAAATGGGCGTAACATATAAATATGTGTAACATATATTAGATGATAAACGTAATTCCTGCTACTCGCTACTAGAAGATGCCGACTCTAACACTGGCGAGTTTCGACGGTGAAGTCGCATTTTAGTAATTGAAATCATTTTAATCTTGATTCGGATCGTTATAATCACTTTATATTAGTCCTTGGTATAAATGAAGAAATGGCATTAAAAAGAAATTTGGTTAATTTAATCGTAACAAATCTTTATTCAATTTATATATTTGTGTGTGTATATTGTCCTAACCACGATTTGAATATGTTATTCGGCGATTTGCCGTGATACGGTTTTCAAAAACTCGTGAAAATCCTCTTCGGGTTCCAAATGCAGAAGACGACAACTTTGATCCCATAGTTGCTTAACGACTCGGTCATCATTCGCTATTTGATGCATATTAGCAACGCTGCATTCCCTGTCAAAAGTACATGTAAAATATTAAATAAACGAGAATATGTATTAATCTTTTTGATACAGCAAATTTTCGATGTGCATCGTCGCTCCAATAGACGCGGAAAAATTACAACTACTGTATTTTGGACGGGTGACAATACGTAGAGCGAATTGTTTCTCCTTGCTAAAGTTTAGAAGTGAACAAGCGCACCTCTTGTCTCCCCCCCCCCTCCACCCTCCTTTCCTAGTTACGTCCATTCGATCATATATGAGATTTCGTATCTCAAGTTTTAATAATCTGTCGCATTTTTTATATACTAATATTTTACATGGGTGGGATATAATTCTATAAAATATAATTCATAACTGGATGCGCTTACGCGTAATAGAAGCCAGTCTCATCAGCCGCTTTTTCATCTACCGCACAATAAATCGTTGTTTGCGCACCCTGTTCTGGATTCTTCATAAACGGTCGAAGAAGCAAATAAGATATGAATCTTGCGCCCCGAAATATTGTTTTATCTAGATTTCGAGTCAGTTCCGTCCATATAACGCCGGGATGTAAGGAATATACGTTTATCCCGTTGATATTTGCCTCTGAAAAGCAAATTTTTGTTTATAAATTATCCTGAAGCGACGATAAAAGTGTTGTTAACTCTCGATATACCCTATCAAGGTTAATTTCAAACAATTTTAGTTCCTAAGTTCCTGTTTTGGACGGTTTTAAAGATTTTCAAGGATTGACATTGTATGACTTTGTATGTTCTTTCTCAGAGATCTTCCAAAGTCGATCTCGCTCACCTTTCAGCCGACGAGCGAGGGCCTTGGTAAACAACACGTTCGCCAATTTGCTCTGATTGTAAGCTTTTAAAGGAGTGTACGATTTCTCCAGATTTATGTCGTCGAAGTTTATGGTGCCACCTGCAACGATACAGTATCAGTCGTGTTCCTCCTGTGCTATCGGTCCACGTCTACGCGGCGGACGTTGACCGATGACCCGCTTTGAATGCGACGCACCGCTAATAATCAAAGGTTCGCGCTTATACGCGACCTGCTAAGCCTACATACGAAGATGAAGTATCGACGATACATTCAATATCCTGCAACCGGATCCCGAGGATATTATCTTCGGCAGTAGCAGGAGCGTCAGAAGGAAATGGCCGAGATGATTCGTTTGCAGGTGCAACTCGAAATTGTCCTCCGTTTTCTCGAACGGACAAAGCATCACGCCGGCATTGTTGACGAGCAGGTGAATGGCTGGTTCTTTTGCCAACAGACTTTTGGCGCACTCTCTCACGCTCTTAAGGCTGCATAAATTTAGCGGGTAAATCACGAGCTCACCTGGATCACCTTGGAACTGTTCTCTGTCTGGCCTGGAAATTAGCGTGATGTATTGGTACAAAAGTGGTCTTTTATTGTATCGTATTGTTTTTATCTTAAACGAATTAGAGATTACCAGATAGCTGAGAAATAGAAGGTTTCTCACGAGCATTTTTCTTGCGTAACAAAGTCGATGTTACGAAGTATGACTCGTTTCTTTGCGCGGATCCTCTTTGTTTCGTAAACAGTAAGTTTTCAGGCGACTTAGACCTACTTAGACAAATGCGATTGCATCTACTTGGCTTGTTTCAATAGAAACATATTGGCTTATTTGCGATAGAGAAAGTGGGATATTCGATTATTAGAATTTATTAAAGACGAAAAGTTAATATGTTTAAGGGGGAAGTCTACTGTGAGAAGGGAAAAAACAGGCCGATTTTCCGGATTTTTTTTCTAACAAAATATGACTCGTATATTAAATTAAATTAAACCGTCATCTTTATTATATATTCAAGTATTTGTAAAAAAATGTTCAAGTCGAAATATTCAAAATTGCCGTCGTGGCACTCCTTCAAGTGCAGGTCCGTTTTTTTTAGGTGCCCAAACGGTGTACATAAAATCTCACGTCTGGGTGATCTGAAACAAAAAACAAAATATGGTTATCATCTACATAGTATTGACTCTCGTCTGACGGAGGATTTTGTCGATAAAAAATTTTGGCGCCGAAAAAAAAATTCTTGAAATTTTTTTCTATTTTTTTGCCCAAATTTGATGTTATTATTGTTTATAACAATTGCACAAAAAACGATATCAAAAAAATGCTCCGCCAAACGAGAGACACTATTCCAGAGAATATGTGGTTAAAATTTCAAGTCGATTAATTCATTAAAACTCGAGATATCGTGTACACCGTATTGAAAAACTTAGTTTCGAGAAAAACGCGTTTAAAGTTTCGGCATTAGTTTTTTCAATGAAAAAATCATTTTTAAGCTTCTTACCATTAATCGCCCATTCCTGCTTCATATAGTACACCTTCTTCTTCAAGGAAATCCTCTTCGAGTGCCGATCGCGCCGTTCTTCTTTCGATTCTCCCTTCTTTTGAAGCGTCGAACGACCGTTCGTTTGCTTGTGATATTCTGCGCTCGTCCACGGTGTTGCATAAATTGAAGGCGTTTGGTCCAATTTTGATGTTCATAACGTCCATCATTTTGAGGATACTGGAGTAGCCTTCATTGAAAATGCTCGAGGTTCACAATTTACTGTATTCACAATTACTGCATTTAACGACTAAGTTGAATCCAAGTCCACGGATACTACTTTCCGAAAAAGTCACATTTCCACCGCACGTTTTGCACATGATCATTTCACTCAGCGTTTGAAACAAGAATAAAAATTCAATCAAACGGTATCCATAGCCATTATTAATTTCCACTTCCACCGATTTCGTTCTTAATTTTTTCGCGGAAGAACTTGTCGATTCCGTTTCATTCTCCATCGTATGGCGATTTAGTGGCGGCGGTCTTTTCCTACGTCGTGAAGGTCGTCCGGGAGTTTCGCGTGAACTCTTTCGGTCGAAAGAAGCAGGCTTCATTTTGATAAAAACTATACGTTAGCCACGTGGGAAACGCCGAAACGATCACAGCTGTTCGATACACTGGCCCTTAAAATTACGCACTACCGGCGTCCTTACTGTTGAAATCGCTTCTAAGTGACTATAAAATATACCTAGTGACATCTGTTGATCGACTTGGAGTATTAGAAATGTTAGAAATTGAATTGCAAGTCACTACGCTATACCCGCCGAACAGATAGGAATTTGCCGCAGGTACGCGTTTCGGAGCGCTTCGGTAAAAGGTTGAAATTTCAATGAAGAAAAATTTAGCCGGCTATAACACCTAATGTACCTTATTTTAGAGGGTTCAAAGTATTTTTTAAGCCAATAAACAAAAAATTGATTTTTTGAAAATTTTACAGTAGATTTCCCCCTTAATCCTTGATATATCGTTTTGGTAAAAGAGAAAATAGTATTATGGCCTTTGTAAGTATCATAGCTCCTCTTAATATTTCCACTATTAGGTGGCAAATTCTAATGATTACTTGTGGAATCATTTATTTAGTAGCTCGCGATTACATAACGGCGCTAATATACCAATGCACAATAGCCGGCATTTATTATAACTCATTTTTATTTTTGAGAATTTTTAAACATTTTTAATATATATTTTAGTATTTAATTATACATACTTTCTCATTTTTCTCGAACTTAAGCGTATTATTACACGCACATATGTATATTTAAGTGTAACGGGTTAATTTTATTTTATTCTTTCTTTTTGTAACGTTAATTTAATTTTTATTTTTATTACTCCATATTTCGATAATACATTATCGCATCCATTATTATATGCCATTCTATTCATATCTATATTCGATAAATTAAAGCAGAAATTCAGGTCGGCAGTATTAATGTTAGACCAATCCGCGAAATGTACTTTACAAAATGTAATTTCTTTCGCGCGACACAAAAATCTTCGCCGCATTACGTCGTTATTAATTGCTAATTATTAACTGACAACGATCGACCGTTAAATTGATCGGGAAGTTGTTGAAAATTAGAAGGAAATTTTTACACATTAAAGATATACGCACCTCGTGTTGCTATGTTTTGATAATCATATGTGTCGTAATTTGCTATATTTACTCACCTCGATGGTGGATTTTTCTTCACGTCTTCGACTGCGTTCTCTGCTTTCTGAATATCGCGGCAGGCGAGAATTACTCTCGCACCTGAATAAAAATGTAATCCGCATTTTAATATTCGCTGTTTCTGCTGTGTGAGCTTAATTAGCACATTATTAAACTAATGTGATAGATAGTCAGTTTATCATAAGTATTATTTCATGTATATGTTTAACATATATAGCGTTTCATATGCGCAGCAACTTACGCAACAACACGATTTGAAAAACATCAACGAATGTGTTAGTCTCATTATAAAGTCCTCAAGATCACATTGAACAATTATTCTGAATCATTGTCAATAAAAAAATGACTAAAACTTCTTTTTTCATCTCTCGTTTAGAATTTCAGAAGTCGAAATCATTTTTATTCAAATTTTACTGCTTGAGATCAAATTATACTTTATAATTTATTCAAATAAGATATTTACGTACGGAATAAATTAGATATGACGGCCACCACACATACGAGGTCTGTTCAAAAAGTATCGCGAATTTTGAATTTCCGCGGGTTACGTATATTCGATTTTCGATTTTTTTGTGGCGTTATGTTGGTACTCATGTCCCTCCCTTATACCGACAAGTTCGGCCATTTGAATATTCAATTTATCTTTGACAGCTGTTTTGCTTGGACGTGTTTTGGCTCGTCTTCGATTTTTGCCTATTCCAATCAAAGAATCTAACCAAATTAAGTGCGCGGACGCATTCCGAATGTTGACTGTGGCATATGGTGAAGCTACCTTGGACCGAAGCAACGTTTATCGGTGGTACAAAATGTTCTCAGAGGGCCGAGAAGATGTGAACGACGAAGAGCGTGCCGGACGCCCGAGCACGTCAACAACAGACGAAAACATTGATAAAGTGAAGAAAATAGTATTAGCCAATCGTCGAATCACCGTTAGAGAAGTTGCTGAAGACCTAAACATATCGATTGGCTCGTACCATTCGATTTTTACTAATGATTTGGGCATGAGACGTGTCGCCGCGAAATTCGTACCAACGCCCCTGCTCACACATCGTTGCTTGTGCGCGAAATTTTGGCCAAAAACAACACACTAATGATGCCGCAGCCACCGTATTCCCCAGACCTGGCCCCCTGTGACTTTTTCTTGTTCCCGAAACTGAAGAGGCACATGAAAGGACGACGCTACGCTGCGATTGAGGAGATAAAGACGGCATCGAAGGAGGAGCTGAACAAGATTACAAAAAATGATTTTTTGAAGTGCTTCGAGGATTGGAAAAAACGTTGGCATAAGTGTATAATATCTGATGGGGATTACTTTGGAGGAGACAAAATAGATATTCATGAATAAATAAATAATTTTTTAAAAAACACAAAATTCGCGATACTTTTTGAACAGACCTCGTACAATTAATTGCATGAATTATGTTTCGAATTGCTTTGACTGGACGGAAGAAAAGAATTAGCTGTCCATATAATTATCAATACAAATAAAACCTAGTTACTAGACTTAATTTCTAGCTGTAAGAGTTGATTCTTTCTTTCCGTGTAAATACGAGATAACGTCCAGCCTGACGTACGTATTTATTTTCGATAAATAATAATAATAATAGTAGCAGCAACATGCATATAAAATTTTTATCACTGAGATTATAGTAACACTTTCTCCAAAAATAGTTCTCCCGATTATTTTTGTAGTTAAAAGATATGTTTGACGCCGAAACTAACTATAATTTTCTACTAGTGTACGCGCCAATATCTAACAAAACCAGAGACAGAGTTTTATTAATATCTCACATTTGTTTTACAGAGCACTTCTCTCCCTCTTACTCTAATTTTAGTTCTCTCTTTCTGTCTCACTCTTTGAGAACCTTATTATCGTCTATTATTTATTTTTTGTAAAACTACCTCTTCTGTAAAAATCCCTAGCGGTTTCCTTGCCAATTCCGCTATTAGCACCCGTTATAACCACCGTTTTACCCACGAGACGCGCTTTGCTGGTGCATATGCTGCTGAAAGGCCACATGTTCGCGATGTATGTTTCACGGCTTCACTGACGTGTACTCTTAAAAGCGTTTCGATCCACTCCCTGCGCTCAACTGCGGCACACCAGTCTTGTGCGGTACTTTTACATCGGCTGCATCATGACACACTTATTAAAATTCATTCGATATGAAGAAGAATTATCACCGAAAATATTTTCCGGGCAGTTTACAATTAATTGAATGATTCAAGATCATTTTTTAGATGAAAATTTTAAGTGAGGAAGTTTTTATACAATCTCGCTCTATAAATTTACTCATTTAATCGTTTAAATTATCATTAAATTTTTTCCATATTTAATTTTTAATTTATTTAATTTTAATTTATTTAATTTTCCTCATTTAATTTTACATAATTTATTTTTAATTTATTTAATTTTCCTCATTTAATTTTTTCCTTTATTTTTTAACCCTTTCGCGGCGAACAGCGCCGTTCGGCGCTCAGGCAAATTTACCCGCGGTGAACGAACAGCGCCAGATGGCGCCCATCCGGAACCGCTCTTTTCGTACGAAGGCGCTGTTCGTTTGTTATCAACAACTGCCATTAATGTCCATTAAGTTGTTTTTGACGTGCTAGCAGCATACGCTTCTTGTGCAAAGGTTTTTTTTACATAGTCAAATATTATATACACACTGAGTCAAATATATTATACACACTGCGTTCGGAACGACTCGCGTATTTGGTCCGCGCGGTCGATCTGGCATCGGCTGCTTAGAGCGCAACTCTTTCCAGAGCACTCCGCCGCGAAAGGGTTAATATTACTGGAACATTATCTGCAAGAACACAATGAGACCCAAATTTTAAATTCTAAATAGAAACAAGTCAACAACGATTGCACTTCCATAAAGAATTTTTCCTGCTTGCTTGCTATTTAAATTTATTTTATATTTAAGTAGAGTCCACGTTCTCTTGTCGGGTTAATTTCTATTCAATCATTTCGACAAATTTTTTTATTATGTCGTGTTATATATTAAAATACTATTTTTTAAAAAGTTTTTATATTAATATTAATATACTATTCTCTTTTCATATTATATAATATATTATTTTTGGGCGGTAATAAGTGAAACTTTATTAAAACAGTAAAAAACGAGCAACAAATAACAAAGTAAAAAACGCAGGATTATTACTCGGAGCTATTGTTAAGAGTATGCAGTACTTTATATATTCCGTTGTCACTGATCATTAACTTATGTAATTTGTGTATATTTCTCGGATGTGGTAAGAAGTAGGACACGGTGAAAGTATAGAAATAACGGATAATATCCCCACTATAACTGGTCTGTTCTTTTTAGTTGCGTTGCTAAACCGGCGCAATAAGTTAGAGTGAGACAAGTATATTTTGTCTCGCTCTAACTTATTCCACTAGTTCGGCAGTGTAGCTAAAAACACAGAAAAACAGATCGAGTAATTCACGTCCGCGCGTTTTCATAAACTGGAATGAGCTGGAAATGTGGCTTTTGTCAAGTGATATTTTTCTCTATCCGCTATATTATCGCATGTCCGTTAAAAATATCCCTCCTATTTATTGAGCAAACATCATTGCACCATATTCTGGTAAAATAAAATATCAATGAGATGGCTTCGTACGCTCAGAGGGCCATTTTTCCTTCCCGCGTTAGACGATCGCCGGCGAGATAGACGCGCTTCGCTACGAATTGTCATTTCGCCGCGGACGAAACTCGTCGATCCGCTCGGAACTTCGGGGTACCGAGATCCCGAGCGCCGATACTGGCGATGCGACGAGCTGCATCGTTCCAACAAAATTGAAATAAAAAGAAGCCATTAGGACGGGAACCAGTATCGCGAGCGGGGAATCTTTCGAGCGCACTGCAATGCACAAACACGGCAGATCGCTCGGCTGCGGTCAGGTAACAAAGTTTCCATGGGAAAACCGAACGCGTTATCCGCTCCGTGCGCATATTAACTAAACTAACTTTGCTTAGGATTTCTCTTATTCTCTAATGTTATTTCCGGGCGAGATACAATAATGTTACATAATGCTGTAAAATAAATTAAACTACGGGCGAGAATCGATCTACAACGCGATCTATGCACGCGATTTTCCGCGCGTTACACGCGGTGTGAATATTTTATCGATCGATTGATTTTTTGACCCGGCTTGTGCCTGAGGATATCGGAAGATACCGGATCGGACGAATGATTTAACTGATTTATCATCTGATGAAATATCATTTACTTACATTCCCGTTGATTTCACCTTCAAGTAAGAATTTTCATGTCAAACGCGAGTAGACGATGCTGTCGCGGGATACATTTTGCTACATAAGCACCAGCGATATTTTAGACACCTAAGAGATCCTTACACCGCACACGGATGATATTACGTTTGAATAACGAGCGTCGAAGGATCGAAATAGCTACGTTTGCAGTTTAATAACATTCGTCAGCTCGTGCTCATGTTTCTTCAAATGCTGTAGGCAGGGGACGGTGTATTATGCGGCCTTTATCGTCGTAGAATCAAATTTATGCTAACGATTTAGAGCGGCGGGATCGAACGTGCGGACGAAAGAAAAGCAGAAAGGCGAGGAACGAGAAGTAGAAAAGTCGAGATCGAGAAAGACCTTGTGGAGATCCGCGCGTTTGTCTCCGGCATTCTTGCCTGCAAGGGAAAGCCTCTTGATAGCATTCTCCGCGCAAATATACGTAACTTTAACGAACAACGTGTGATGTGCTCGTGAGTGAAGCGATGTGGAAAACGAGAATAGAATCAACGAAGAGATTTCTCGTTCGCTCGTGCTCAGCTAATTCGGGACGCGTCGAGACGAAAGATGTGAAACCCTTCGAGGATATCCCGGGACCGAAATCCTTCCCCGTTATCGGCACGCTTTACAAATATCTCCCTTTCATTGGTAAGAACAGTGGCTACGTTTACAGCCTAAAATCTGATTAGTAACCAACCGTAATCCAAGTTTGCACGACTAAAACCAATGTGATAAATCTCGACACTGCAACTACTGGCGCTACATGTCACACGCAGTGTTGACGCACACGTAATTATAACGAAATTGTATACGACATGTAACACCGATAGTCGCACCAGCGGAAACTATTGAATCGGTTTTATGTTGTTCACGTAAATGTGGATTGCGGGGGTTGCTGGATCGGTTTTAAATCGTCATGCGGTAAACGTAGTTAGTGTCTCGTGGAGGTTCGATTGTGCGTCAAATTCGCGGGAAAATTCTATTTGCGACAATGGCGACAACTCATCACCACCGATCTCGAGTGGTCCGATATCGAATAAACAAGCTTCATTTCGGGCGTTTCGATATTACAGGCGAGTACAGCTTCAACAAGTTGCACACGTCCGGTTTAGCGAAACTGAGGCGTTATGGGTTCTTGGTTAAAGAGGAAATAGTACCCGGCGTGCCAACAATCTGGGTGTTCCGGCCGGAAGACATCGCGACTATCTTTCAGGCCGAAGTGGGCCGATACCCCGAGAGAAGGTCACACTTGGCTCTTTATAAATATCGGAAAGACCGAAGTGACATGTACAACACCGGCGGGCTTCTACCCACGTAAGGATTCTCCTCGTGGTCCGCATACAATCGTACCTCAGAATCTGAATTAGCCGCGTCGAATTGTTCATTCATGATTACATTTGTATAATTAAAAGTGAGATCATCTTATTTGTCGATAAAATCGCTTCTTCCTCGGGCCCCTTGACCGATTTTTATTGATTATATAAAGGCATAATTGCGTACAAATAGTGCTAGAAATTAAATAAATTTTACTTGGATCAGGTAAATATTTTATTTGGATAATTTACTTGGAAAATACTTTACTTGAGTACTCAAATAAATACTACTTGATCGAGGTAAATATATTTGCTAAGGAATACCGTAATAATTATTTAATCGAACTTTTTTTTATGCACTGAAAAAAGGTGCTACCATTCAATAATATTTAATTGAACCAAATAAAATAATTAAGTTCTAATCTTCTTGGCGAATATTTATTAGAAATAGAGAAATATAATTGATTATACGTAAAATGATATCTCCTTCGTATAAATAAATATTTATTTGTATGTGTTGAAACAATTGCAACAAGTATTCAATTCATAATACTGTGAGAAAATCAGAATTGAATTTTAGAAAATATTTACTGGACAGAAAGATTGAAATTTAAAATCATTACCAAAATCATTTACATTTCATTAATAGATATTTATAATTATATTTCATTTATAATTTAATAAATTTATATATATTATTGCGTTCAAGTATCTACTACAAGCTATTAAAAAAAATATATAAAATATATTGATAAGTATTGATTTATATAAGAGGTAGAAAATAGTTAATTGCATTTATTTGATTCTATCATTTTTTGTGTAATAATTGAAATATTAAAAATATAGTATATAAATGTGATTTAATATGTATCTTTTATCGCTCAATTTACTGGCTCTTTATTGACTATAATTTAGTAGATATAATTAATTATACTTTACATATGAATTTATTTGTCGAAAATGAGTTCTCTTATTAGCTGCCCTGGTAAATATGATAATATATTAAAAACGTCAACGTCTGTCGTATCAATGACATGTTATTAACACCTGAGACATCATTGATACGTAATCTTGATTGTGTTGAAATGTTATAATATCCGATAGCGATATATAACTTATTATTATTATGTAACAGGTCTAACAGATGAAAAATGCGCCAACAGAAACCTTATTTTTTTCTCGTAGAAACGGCATAGACTGGTGGAGGCTGCGTAAGGAATTTCAAAAAATTCTCAGCAAACCCCGCAGCGTGACCGAATATCTGGAGGATACCGACGTCGTGATTCAAGAATTCGTAAAGTTCTGCCAGCAGCACCGGGAGGATCAGACCGACGATCTTCTGCCGTTTCTTTCTCGTCTCTTTCTCGAATGTAAACATTTCGATCGCAAAACCGCACTGCTTTCTACGTTGGGAGCGTTTCACGTGCAAATGTTATTTTCGACACTTTATCACTTTATTACACGAGATTCATGCTTTTTTTAGTGACCTGTCTCATTCTCTTCGACGTAAGAATGAATAGTTTTTCTGAGACGGAGAGACATCTCAATTCGAGAAGTTCAAGGCTTATCGATGCGGCCTTTGAAACAAACAGTGTTATTCTAAGATTAGATAACGGTCTGAGACTTTGGCGATTTTGGGAGACACCATTATACAAGAAGTTATGCAAATCGCAGAATTACATGGAAGAGTGAGAGGACGCATAGCTCTGAATTTTATTTTAGTTATTAGCCAAATCGTATTTAATTTATTAACTCCATTAGATGGAATTAGTCTTATTCGTAATCTTCCATATACAGAATGAGTCAAAAATAATTGCTATCTCAAGTGACTTACTATTTACTGATGTCAAGGAAAATATATTTCATGCGAGATATGTCCGATTCGATGAGAGTCATCGAATAGAAGCATTTCATTTTTCTTATGTTTTGTATTTTTTGAGATATTATGGTGACCTTGAATTTTTTAAATGGCATGGTATATTTGTTTTGAATATCGCACTACATCCAGTAGAAATAATACGAATTCTATAGTAATCTGTAACAATGTGACCTTCGCCCTTAAAACAGGCATTACATCTTTTTTCTGTGAAACGGTCACAAAATCTGGGATATTTACAACTATCCATTTCAAATTTATTCATAATATTTCAAACGGCAATTATTATTCATACTCACTCTGTATTTAATTCCGCTTCCTTCCAATTATAAATCTATCTTTTATAATTCTTTCTTCGACAACGAAACTGTGTGTGTATAAATACCGTTGATACGACAGGGTAACGCTGCAAATATTGTCGCAGAGAAGTCAGAATACGTCGACACACCGCAAAATGTCTCTCCTCGAAGAATACTTGCAAAACGAGACGTTAGATCTCAAAGATGTTGTTGGTATGTCGTGCGATCTGTTGCTCGCCGGTATAGATACTGTAAGTGTTCTGGAAAAATATTTGAGCGTGTGGCGCTCGGCCAATCGCGTTGATATGCAATTGGCCGAACTTTGCCCGACATACCACTTCTCTCTCATTATTTCAGACGACGTACACCACATCGTTTGCTCTATACCATCTTGCGAGCAATCCCCATTTGCAAGATAAGCTAAGACGCGAGGCTACGGCTTTGCTGGCGGCTCCCGACTCGCCGATAACGCCGGAGATCTTGAACAACGCCACGTACACGAAAGCCGTGATCAAGGAAACGTTTCGCTTGAATCCCGTTGCCATCGGGATTGGCCGTATCCTGCACGTCGACGTGGTTCTCAACGGATATCACGTGCCCCGAGGCGTAATTAAATTTATTATCGCTCGCTCTCTCGCTAATTCATATCTAAAATAGAGCACAGGACCGGCATTGAGAATCCCGTTGAATCCCGTGGTTTTAGACTGTGGTCGTGACGCAAAACCAGGTGACATGCCGACTACCGGGATACTTCAGTGAGCCGAACTCCTTCGTGCCGGAACGGTGGCTGCGATCGAAAGACGGAACGATGAAAGAGAGCGTGCACCCGTATCTGATGTTGCCGTTTGGCCACGGGACGCGATCTTGCATTGCGAGACGCTTCGCGGAGCAAACCGTTCAAGTTTTCCTACTTCGAGTAAGTACTTGGGGAATCCGCGTAGACTGTCCGGATTCATAAGTCAATGATCGTTTCGATATCGATGATTGATTTTTCGGACTCGACTTGATAATTACTAGATTTTTTATCGTAAAGGAGGATCGATATATTTTGATAATATATTGATGAATAGTCGATATCTAACTATCTATGTGATATAAAGGGAGGAGAAGATAACTAGTACAAGTTAATGTAGCCAGCAAAAAAGAACAGACTTAAGATATCGACTTGATGTGGACATGATGATGGCTTTCCATTTTATGACACAAGTCGACACAAGTATCATTTTGTCTTTACTCTATATTCAATGAGTAACAAAGATAGATGATACTTGTGTATCACTAAATGGAAAGTATCCGACATAAACTTGATAACGATTAAATCATCTCAACATGTACATAATAACTTCTAGATATCGTGATGAAATTTTATCACAAATATCGAATCGAGCATTGATTTCCACACGATTTCGGATTTTTCATCAACATATGAACCTGAGTGTAAGGATATCATTAATCCCCATCACGTGAATGATCTCGCGAGCGATTGTATGATGTTGCCGCAGATTTGCAGGAACCTACGTTTCACTTGGCACGGCGGCACCCTCGACGCGAGGACCTTTTTGATCAACAAACCAGACGCACCCATCAACGTGAAATTCGAGAGCGTGAGCGCATAGGAGAGATCGAGCCGCTACTTTGAGCGACGCGAAAAGCTTGTATCGCAGTTTAGCATCAGACGAACAAAAATCATTTATTCTGTCCAAGAACACGATTGCTTTCTGATTTATCTCTCTTCCGGCCGATAGAAATAATTACACTTAAGTCTTATCTAATGACAACTTATCAAAGCGAACCGAAAAGGTCGCGCGACGCGCTCTAATTGTAGGTCATGTACTTGGGCGTCGCGGAGAACTTGGCGTACGACTTGATGACCTTGTTGACCGCCTCGAGGAAGTCCTTCTCCGTGGCGACCTTGCGGCGCGCGCGAATCGCGAACATACCCGCCTCGGTGCAGACGGAACGGATCTCGGCGCCGGTGCTGTTCGGGCAAAGTCGCGCGAGCAGCTCGAATCGGATGTCCCTCTCGACGCTCATCGAGCGCGCGTGAATCTTGAAGATGTGCGTGCGGCCCTCGAGGTCCGGCAGGCCGAACTCGATCTTCCTGTCGAGACGGCCCGGTCGCATCAGCGCGGGGTCCAGTGTGTCCGGCCTGTTCGTCGCCATCAGGACCTTTATGTTGCCGCGCGGGTCGAAACTGAAACGTCAAATGAACGGTGACGGTGGAGATATCGCGAATTGCGACTTTCAGTCGACCTTGACGGCCGTGAATAAAAACGCTCACCCGTCCAACTGATTGATCAACTCGAGCATGGTCCTTTGCACTTCGTTATCGCCGCCCGCGCCATCGTCGAAACGTGCACCGCCGATCGCATCGATCTCGTCGAAGAATATCAGACACGCCTTTTTACTTCGCGCCATTTCGAACAATTCCCTGACCATTCGAGCGCCCTGTTTAGGTGGAAGTTCATGTTACAACCGCGTGAAGTCCGAGTAAAGTATCTCAGTCGAATTCCGATACGCTTGACTTACCTCGCCGACGTATTTCTGCACTAACTCTGAACCAATCACACGTATGAAACAGGCGTCCGTCCTGTTAGCCACCGCTCTGGCGCAGAGTGTCTTCCCCGTACCCGGTGGTCCAAACAGCAGAACTCCTTTCGGCGGCTCGATGCCCAAATTGACGAATTTCTCCGGCTGTAATTAATCCCTCACATTATGCTCCTTCCGACGTTTTGTTTGAAGAACAATGCTGTTAGAGTCGCAGGATTGCACACGGTGAAAGATTTTGTGTTAAAATCGGTCCAAGGAAATTTGGTCTCAATTTAACACGGGGTGTTACCATATGTTTACATCTTAATATTAATATTAAAGGACAGGAAATTTCAGGTGAACCGCTTTAAATACAACAAAATTTGTTATTGTGTATATACTAACGTGTAACAGCGGCGTTTCGACGACTTCTCGTAACTTCTCGATCTGTTCCTTGCAACCACCGACGTCACTGTAGGTGACGTCAGGTTTCTCCTCCACTTGCATCATTGTCACGGTAGGGTCGATCTTAGACGGTAACGGTATATGAATTTGGTACTTGTTACGATCCACTCCTACCCTCATGCCTTCTTCTATGTCAGTGGGTGCCACAGAATCCGCTAGGTCGACCACGAACTTTGCAAATTGCTTGACGTTTATTATGTACTTTGGATCGTCGGAATCCGCGTTTATGATCTTGGTGCAACGTGCCACTTGAAGGGGTTGTTCATTCTGTAGAGTCTGCTTATCTGCCGCCAAGTCCCACAGCGCCGGTGGTGCCAAGCCGGTGTCCGATTCTTTGATCCCAGTTAAATCATTTACACGCTTGATGATCGTTTGAGTATCCTCCTCGACAGCCTTGATACACTTCGTGTATTGTCCTTGGCCCTATAACCAAACAAAAATAGTCATTCCTTCACTATTATTGCTGAAAAACATATACAAGGTATAAGATATGTTCACAGGTAAATAAATAAATAATGCTTGAGCGTGTAAGTATAATGGTATATGAATATAATAATGTTTAATATGGAGAAAAAAGAATAAGAACAAAGGCAATGAGACATGACGTGACACTTGTCCACTGAATCAGCACTCCATCTGTCAAGTGTCAGATTTACGTTACAATATCTTTAATAGCAACTGCCTGAACTCACGTAGGTCTTCAGCAAGGCGATGTCGCCTTCATCCAATGCTGAAAATTCAGAGAAGAAACTTTAGAGAGCATGAATACACAGTGACGTTACGACCAAGGGAGACGTCAAACGAGAAAACTCACATTTAATCTCCTTCTCTTCTTTCTCCTCCTCGTTCTTCACCTTTCGCATATCTTCTCCTAAATGATCCGGCATATTTGCACTTATTAAATCGTCTTAGTTATTCACTCCGCACTCTTTAATTCGCTCACTACTCGTGAAGCTCGACGTTCTTGCCTCTGTGTGAAGTGAGGTTATGTTTCACCTCGATTACAAGCGAAATTAACAGTGAAAAGTAGAGATGAGAAGTGCACGATCGTAAATAGAACCAAGACTGGAAGAGATTTAAACGGTTTAAGAGGGTGGAATTTTCCCTTTAATTTGCGTGTTAATAGATTTTATTGAGATTTTTTTTTCATCTACTTGGGAAGAAAAAATCTCTATAATTTTTACTTGAAAAATAAATATTTGTCTGATCAGTTGTTGAGTCATATCACGTATTCAATTTCTCATAAAAGGAAGTGGCGGCTCGTAGCGAATGACTTTGGAACCAATCAAAATAAGGGGTTCAACAAATGTTTTAGACCCTTTAACGGCTTTTAGCCAAAATTCGAACCATGGTTAAGCAAGTTTCTAACCAATCCCGCTAGGTGACGCCAGGCAATCCGGTTAATTATTCCATTCGATTAATAAATAGTTGTGTAAAAGTAAACTTTAATTAAAAGCGATAATCACTAATTGTTTTATTTTCGTCGGAACCATCGTCGGATCATTGAAATTTTCAGAGATTACGATACATTTAGAAGAATATTCTGATAACGGAATGCGCTCGCTCAGTGTTGGATTTTCGGAACGCAGCCAATCAGGAAGAAGGAGTAAGCGCCATTTTTGTATTATTAGTTAATAATTCGTCGCGTAAGAAAAGTTGAATTAATCATTACTCTCGTGTGTATTATATAATTTTACGTAATATATATACTCGCGAGTGCTGATATTATTACGTAAGGAGACGTTGAACTTTCCGAGGAGCGTGCTCATTGCGACTTCAAGGTGCGTCTGATTTTTACAAAATATCATCATCTAATCAAAATGACCATGAAGCAACGTAACCTTATCCATTTGGATATATTTTCCTCTGGACATTATTGTTAACCAAGACTTAACCAAGAGATTGTGTAGTTTGATCTAGGCAGTTAACTTGTATTAACATTCTGATGTTACGTGAATTATTCCCGATATTCTGTATATGTATTATCACCGAAGTAAACACGATATATGTTTATTAATAACCTAATTTCCGATATCTCGTCCGATCGTATCTCGACAACAAAATTTACGATTTACATGATTTCTCACGAATAGCGCAGAGGAAATTGTCACGTGTCACAAATATCGTAAGAGAGAACGCGACAAATTTATATTTTATACATATCATTCCGACAAAAACATGACGGCGCACGTAGTGCGCCGGGCGACCGTTCGTGTTGCACCTCGAGATACGACTAAAACAGAAGAGATCTTTTCAAAGTACGTTAGAGACATTATCGAGGGAGATCGTTCTCCCAACTATTATATAGTCTTCTATTAGATATATTTTTGAGAGTACGCATTGATTTAATACGCTCGTTACTTGAATAGCACAAGACATCATAAAATCAATCGGTCTGTTCTTCATAGCTGCATTGCTGAACTGATGCAATAAGTCAGAATGAGACAAGTATATTTTGTCTCACTCTAACTTATTGCACCATTTCAGCAGTGCAGTTATAAAGACGCTACTTTAGACGTTTGCATTCTTGTTGCGCTCACTAACGGATCGCGCTCTTGGTCACGCTTGGTAAAGCTCAGGGGTGCGTTTCCTCTCGCTTCTTGCTCAGACATTCTCCCTGCCGCATCCCGATGCATCCCAGCCGCGACGAAGCCGTTTCATCGGTGTCGGTCGAAACCTTTCGAAGGAAGCGTAGAACCGCCCAAGTTGCATATGCTGCATGTACCAGACGGTCGGTCGGTCGATCGATCGATGGGTCTGTCGGTCGGTCCTTGACCGGATTGATGCGTGGAAGAATGCGAAATAACGAAAGAGGCCGAGATGTGCGTACAATACTTTCACTTGCACCCGTCCCACCCTGTGTTCTCGCTCCGTGATTCATTTAAAGGTGCGCTCGCCGCGAACGGGCTCCCTTCGGCAACTGGGAATCTCGCGGGCGATTAGCCGGGTCAAGTAGAAAAGTCCGCCGGAATACTTTTGCATTTCTTCGTTCCCTTCTTCCTCTTGTGAAAGACGAAGAATCGGTATTCGAGAGAAATGGTAGTAAAGAAATGAAGAATAAATGATCCAAGCACCGAGACAATGTATCGAGGAACAGGGAACACATTCCTTTAGACGTCGGTAACTCGCGTATATTCAGCAACACCATGCGAATCCATCCATTCGCCGTTGCCGGCGCGTTGTAAAAGCACCTTCAAAGCGCTCGCTGCAGGCGTGGTGCACGCGAACTTCAACCGCGCCGCGCTCTCTCATCCTCCTCTCGCGTTGCATATTAGAGAGGTCAGGGTACCCGTAGCCTCGTTATCGCGAGCCTCTGCGCCGCGAGTAGATTTTCGACCGGCTACCGATAACGTTCTGCGCGCTCAGGCACAATAAATTAATTCATGAAATTTACTCAGGGAATCACGCCGCGACACTTGTTATACACGTTTATTATCTTGTCTCCTGGGAAACGTTTAGGATACTTTTAAAACGTACGAGAGGGAATCTACAAGATAAGATTGAAGTTCGATATTTTTACTATAATTAAGTAATATAACAAAATGCTCTCAAATGTGATTAGCTTTCGTTAAATTAAATTAAATAATTAAATTGGGTCTCATTAGATTTTGTTAGATTTGTTTGTTACGAAGGCGCTTTTTTCTACTTTCTTTTTAAAACAGGTGAGTTTTGTACGGATCATTTTTACACAAGCGAACGCGCACGCGGGGTTCGATGTTTCCCATTAATCATTGCAGTAATTTCCGTCCGCGTGGGTCGTTCATCGCTTCGAGCCGCGAGTTGAGATCCGAAACGTGAGAATAACGTTGACCCTACGTTGAAGACACAGGTCTTCAATGAAGACGAATACACGAATATGCGCGCGAACACGCGCACGGCGTGAAAGGCTCGACGAGAGCGTGTTTTAGCTGATTCCGCCGCGGTAAATTTTTCAGCTACGTTCGCGGCAGCTGAACTTCACATGACGCCTTCTCCTGCGATCGTAAAGGTAATTGCAAGTTCGTCCCGTGTAGCAGTCTCATCTCGACCCACGATATTCGAAGCCGACGATTCACGACGTGAATTTTACGAGCGTGTCCGCGCCGCAAACAAGCGCCGTAGTGCGCTTAATTGCACTTCATTACGATAAGCCTCGCTGCGTCAACTAGTAATTCGCGCGGAGGTGTACAGGTGGAGGAGGAGGAGTCGAGAATCGAAATAAGGCGATCTTTAACGACGGTATTTTCACGTTCATTGATAAAATGCATCGCGCGCATTGCACGTTGTTTGCGCGGGCGCGCTCAACCTTAAGGCGACTAGTCAAACCATTTTCTCAAGAATTCTTTTAAATCTTAACTGCATATCGATGAAAATACTATCAAGTATACGTCTGTAAAATTAGGAAATGATTGACCATTCGGAAGCTGAGACATTCGAAGATGACACTTTTTACATGTTTTCGCTAAGATTATATAATGTCCTATTTTTCACTTTTATTTTTAATTTCTTCTAAACCACATTTAGGATTTTAATGAAAAATTACTGTGATATTAAAAATTAATATAGAGACATTGTACACAAATTTTCAAATTTTTCACTATTTCGTTTTGTCTTCCGTTTGATATAGTCGTAGAAAATAATGTGTAATATATACTCACTTCTAATCGCGCATGAACTTTCTATGATACTCACCTTATGGGCAAACCGATTCGAAACAATCTCCCCTCATCATGACGTACACATCTTCCAAATCGTAAAAACGAGAATTTGTATTTGTTGTTCGCTTCTTGTTCGTTCGCTCAGTGTACACTCAGCTTTAAATTATAGGCAGACCGCGGTAGTCCCTCCTCGAGGCATGTAATCGCGTGTCACAATTAATTACGTGTATTAGGCTCCAGATTCCATGGTGAATTACAGAGCCGTCGAGCGACGGCGACGGCTGCATAAGGAGGAATAAGCGTGCCGTTCCTCGCGTCGGATGATGCAACGACGTTACATGCCGGTAAAACTGGCATTTTCGCGGCGCTGATGTATGTCACCGTGTCAGGTCAGGCAGTCTCGGTGAAAAGAGCGAAGCTCCAAAGCTGCATTACTTAAAACTGGACCGGGTCTTGATAAATCCCGGGTCCCAGTCAGGCGCGCGTCGAACGAAAAAATATTTACGCAATATGCCACTCACGAGCGTGGGTGGAGATTGACATTAAAGCGTTCTTTCTTGCTCTCTCTCTTTCTCTCGCCGGAACTTACCTCGTCGGTCTCATCGTTATTACGTGCCATCCGTGTCACTTTTTCGTGGGAACGCAACACCACCGAACGAACGGAACGTGCGATTCGCTGTAAAAAAAAAAAAAGAAAGATCGCACTGAGAAATGATTTTGATTGGATCTACTTGATAATGAACAAACCACGATAATGAACAAACGCGTTTTGGTTGACGGAATAACAATTTCTAGTTCTCACGAGACAAATTCGATTCCTATAAATTTTCCGAGATTTCGTTTCTTTTAATTGAAACGCATTTAATTTTCCATTAGTCAGATAGATCGGACAAAACTCGTTTTTCAGTGTGGGCGAAATATTCGTAATACGCATACGACTCTTCGAAGGTGCCTCCGTGAGAGACGTCTTCGAGGATAAGACGATCGAACTCGCGATTCGCCGGGTAATTTTTCGAATTCGTGCAGCGCGAAATTATGCTTAACGATCAAACGTGAGTGTCGCTCGCTGATAAAAGAAATCAGAAATCGGCGAAATTGAAAACAAAGTTCTTCTCGACGAGCGCTAATCGAAAGGGACGGGGGAGAAGGTGAAAGAAGACACAGGTACAAGTAGAAACAATATATATACTGATTTATTGCGTAACGACAGTTATGTTGCTGTAGGGGTTTCCGATATTCGTTGTTGTTGTTGTTGTTGCCCGTCGTACTGTGTCCTATATGTACACGTATCACTTCCGGTTAGAGACCGAGCGAAGGTGATCCGTAACAGTCGGTCGATACTTGGCCAAGCCTCCCTCCGATGGATTCGTCCGGCTGTGCGCTGGTCTTCGGTGCATATTTCACGGGGGAAAGGGGAGGGAGTTTTTATACGATCGAGGTGGGTGCCACGGCGAAACTAGAATCTCCGGAAGGGACTGATGGCGTTATACGACGGTCCGAATCTTTGTTGGAAGGGCTGCGGTTGGTCGTACTTGGAATCGTCGGGACCGGGTGGATTCGCCGCGAGCGCCCTTCGGATGGCCTCTGGGATGGGCGGCGGCGTCGGGATATGAGCACCCTGCGCGTGGAAACCGTTCTCGTCGGCCGTGTACTCAACGGTGATGGGGGTGCCGTCGGGCGCGGGGTACGAGTATCTGCCTTGGACCACCTGCGAGGCGATTGATGAAGGAACGGATGATTAGAAGAATTGAAACGCAGAAAAGAATCTCACAGGGGATTCTTAATGGATATTAAAGTATAAATGAAAATTTTTTTCAAATCTTTAAGTCTTCAAATGAAATTTATGGACTTTAGAAAAAGAAGACTCGAGGACCTCAGAAAATCTCCTTGGATACTTACATCTCAATTTTATAAAGTCCGGAATCTTAATAGAATTTTTCTTACATTTCGGTGCTTTTATCCGTTCTGCTTCTTCAAGATCGATTATAATTGAATATACATTTATATTCCTACGGCCGAGTTTAAATGTGAAAATAATTATCATCTAATTTGAGTTATAAGTATAAGTTTTCAGGCTTTTACGATCAAATTTACGAAATCATATGGCACATCAATACGCGATTATTACCTCTGTTTGACCCTGAGGACCGACTTGAGGATATCCGTTTTCGGAGACGGAAATTCCATTCTCAGTTTCATAACTGAAGCTGTAAGATCCATCCGGCGACGAGTCCTTCTGCTGGCTTCGAATGGCTATGAATGGCTTTCCCGGTGATCTGCGGACAAAAACTCAAAGCCGTATCGTTTCCGCGCAGCCTTGGATTTTGAACGGTATTAATTTGTATAAGGAGGAAACTGTTGCAATTATGCGTAATTATCTTCGCCTATCTATGTTAATTTCAATGCTAAATAATAATTAGCTAGATAGACGGTAACCATGGCAAAAAATAACTGTAACAAACGACAGTCTGGCGTATCTATAATTATTTAACGGTACTCTTTCAAGAAACGCACAAAATCGTTATTTGCGTGTGGACAAATGTTTGCTTGAATTCACCAGACAATGAACAAACCAAACGCATTCAGCTGAAGGAAACCGAATTTTTGGTTCTTACGACCCGAATTTGGTTCTTATAACCAGAAATTATTTTCTTAAACCAAAATGCGTTTAGTTTATTCTGTCTAGTAAATTCAACCAAACTTTTTTTTTCCGTGCGCGAGTACTTATTTCAGATTTGTCAACTTTCTCGCGCGATTGTACGTTAACATTTTATAATTTGGTCACATATAAACTTTCTCCTCAAATATTATTTCTCCGATACTGCTCCTTAAATTATTTCAATTAACGTTCTCTTAATTAAATCTTTTTTTAATTAAGCACGCGCTGAGCGGTTGAAGTTTTAACGGTCGGTTCTTCTCGTAAAATTCATACGTGTACTGCGGCTGGTACGGCTGCACCGATGGCTGCGGCTGGAAGGGCCTCGGCGTCGGTCTGTACGCATTTTGGTTGGGAAAGCCGCGGAACGGTCCGAATTGTCCATAAGCGCAGCCGAAGAGGGCTAATGCCAAGATCTGCAACCACGTCGATACTTTTATGCGACCAACCAACGCGAGAACATTCTTCGCGGATATCTCTTTCGACACGTTCGCGATTGAAAACCAGAGGCGAGGTCTCGTCAACGGATTTTATTACGTTTATAAAATTTATAAATAATAATTTTAATTCGCGAGCTCGACGAGCAGAATGAACCATTTCGGCCGACTGTACCGGCGTATCCCGAGTTGAAATTCTAATTCTACATTAGATGAGTTTGATGTTACAAATGAGAAGTTATTTATTTCCGTTTTCTCCACTTGAGAATTTAACGTAGAACCAAGTAGACTTAACGTAAAACCAAAATTTCGAATCGGGATCTCACGCTGCTAGAATCGAACTGGGAGCCCGCGCTTAACCGGTAACATTTGAAGATGTCACATTCCCCAACACCTGTTGAAACAAGAAACCCGTTATTTCGGCGTTCGTACAAATGCCTCCACTTTCCCATCGTGTGCTCTTTACGCCATATCCGCGATCGTGAAATCCTGCCGCGCCGAGATAGGATTTTCGCGCGAAAAGTGCGCGACCGGCGCGTGACACAACTGCGAGATGTAAGTTCGCCGATGCGAACGTTCACCGATTCGTCGCGCGATTTCCCGAATACCGAGTGTATCGTCGCGCAATTTGCGCTCCGTAATCGCTGCAGTCACTTCGGCGAGAGCGACCGCGAAGTGTCGTTCCCCGGTGTCGGCGAAAATAAGGGAGAACACGCGGTACAGCAGCGCGACGGACGATCGGCGAGAACGGTCTCGATATCCAGAGGTGTCGGCCTCGTCGGAGATGAATCACTCACTAAGTACTGCATGACGATGACGACGACGTTTGTCGGCGGTTCGGTGCGGCTGTCGATTTGAACGAGATCGAATCTGTGATCCCGTGCTGCGAGCACCGCCGGCATTTATATGAAGACGCCCAAGAAGATCTTCCCTTCCCATTCTCCCGGGTTTCTGTACAGAGTCGCCCGCTCGCTCTCGCGCGCCAGGGGAGAGGAGCATTTTCTCTTCTCGTGTCGTCCTCCCCCCTGCCCGGGGGATCCTCGTCGCCCTCGTAATCTCGCCCCACCCCGTGCCAACCCCGTGCATCCTCGTCGTCGTCTCTTCAGGTTGCTCCTTACGTGATCCGAACGTGGCGACATGCCACCGCCACCACCGATCGTTCGGTTCAGCCGCGTGAGCCAATTAGTTGGCACACATAGTCGGCGCGCACGAATGCCCACGCGGCTACTGTTTCGATTTAATAGAGTCGTTCGTTAACGCATCTTCGCCCGGAGATACGGGCAGTGGGTGTCATTGTACGCGGGCGATGATATCGGGTGATAAATATGCAACTTGGCGCGTTAATGGCCCCGGCGAGGACGACACCTCGTATGTTTTTCTCGAGGTGGTTACGCGGACGCTCGCGAACGAGAGAATTGTATTTTATCAGCGGGACTCGCGCTCGATTTGCATGCCGATTTCTTTTTCACAAGGATACGTCCGCACGTGTCCGTGGCCAGCACCTCCGGCCTGACCTGTTTATCGGAGGGAAATTATACAGATTGTCACACACGGAAAAAAAATTAGTGCACAGAAAAAAATAATCTTCAATCAAGAATAGAAATATTCTCGTATGTAAATGTTTTTTTAAAAGATTATAATATTCTCGCTTATATATGAGAATATCTATTTTTGATTTAAGACTAATATTTTTTTCTGCGTATCAACTCAAGATTTATGTTTTCATATGTAAGGAAACATATACAATCTTATGTGAAGGTAAGACTTGTTCACCTGAAGAAATTCGGTATAATTTCACTAAAAATGCCATATTCTTGTTATTCAAGAATAAATTTCATGAATTGAGAGGAAAAATATTGGAAAGAACGATATTTTCGAACTGCTACAATTCTTAGTTTAAAAATATCGTTCTTTATCCACGGAATTTTATTACGTTTGTTTTTTAATAACAAAAATATGATATTTTTAGTGGAACTACATAGAATTTCGTAATGTAAACAAGTTTATCTTCACATAAGATATATTTTTGTCTATATATGAGAATATGAGTTTTGAATTGATACTAATATTTTCCATGTGAAAGAATGAAGTGGGACAGTGCGCGCGCGATCCTTGCAAATCGGCTGAATTTATTTTCTGCCGATCGCGCGGAAGAATCGCGCGATCGGCAAAAAATATGCTCCGGAACGCACGAGCGTATTCGTATGTATAAATGTAAATGGGAAACACAGGCGGGACTGACGTTTTCTCCCGATGCCATCTGCGACTCCCAATAAATTCAAATGCTATGCTGCTCATAATGGCCGGTATTGTTCGCATTTGCATTAAGGAGATGCGGGATACGCCGGTAATTCGCACGCGCACGGAATCCTACACGGGCGTTGACAATATTGACCAATGACGACGATGATGACTATGATCACGACGACGAGTGTTAATTCGCAATCGAACGGGCGCGCCGCAAGCGAGCAGCGGCTCATTTTCATTTGTCTTGTATCTTGCGTCTCCCGCCAGCAGCGTGATTGTACGATCGCGTCGCATTGTGATCTCCGATAGCTTTGAAGGCATTTAACAAGCGCATCCACCTGTCGATTCACGCGCACACACGCTTACCGGCGGCGAATCCCCGACGTCGGCGTCCGCCGGCGTCTAACGCAACTGTAAAATGGACAAATCAGAAACAATGCCCCATAGGATACTCATTCATGCACCCGATTTCGTCACGTGTATCGGGAGCGTTACGTAAAGGCTGTTGCTGCGCCTCGCGCGAAAACGAAGTAAAATCGGAGCGGCCGGATTTTTTACATTCTCGCGCCCGCGACCTCGGGGAATCTTCGGTATGGTAAGTCCGTCGAAACGTTGGAAATGGCGGCATCTTGCGTGGGCGATCGATCGCTGGGAACATATCCCACATCATTATAATAATTTCGCAGAGGAATTAAATTTAATTTATTTCTCATTTACTCGAGTGGATATAATGGGACGGTCTCATGTGTGCAGCGAGATCTGTTATCTCCCAGGGATTTGTACTCTGGGAATGAAAAATTACGAACATCGCGGCGGAATTATAATTGAAGCGATTCTTTCCAGCAGATAAATTAATCGCGGACACACATATATAGAGAAAGAGATCCTTTCGTTAAGCTCGGCCTCTCTCTCTCTCTCTCTCCCTCTCTTTCTCTCTCTCTTCTCTCTCTCTCTTTCTCTTTTCAACCGATTCATCCTCCTCCACCTCCGCTACCGCCACGAATCGTCCTATTTTCGCGCGATAGTCTCGAATTTTTCTTACGCTCGTCGCGTGCAAATAATTGCGTTCTCCTGCGACGCGACCACTCCCAGAACGCTTCCATCCCCGTATACGCGCACACGCGCGCATAATCGCTCGCGGAGTCGCAATATCCCGAGCGGGTGGCGGGACCGTGCGATCCGCGAAAGAGAGAGAATTCGCGACTCGAGTCGGTGCACACGCGAGAATCCTCGCCAGCTGGCAGCGAATCGATGCGCGCATTAACGAAAGTTATCAGTTATCAGGCCTAGCTTTTTAGCTGTGAAAGCTCATTTTTTTCCGCGTACAACTATAGTCATAAAAATTAGCCCCTATAATTAGAAACTAAGTCTGATAACTAAAGTTCAGTTGTATTATATGGATAGTTGGTTCTTAGCTGGGAGCTAATCCTTTTTTCCGTACATTTTCCAAATTGTAAATAACGAAAATTCGCATTCGCTGTTCTCGTTCTTTGCTCGTTCGCTCAGAGTATATCCTTAAGCTTCAAGACGAACGCAGCGCACATCTCTCGAGATAATCCGCAATGCGAACGTAGCCGCGCTTCATTTCTGCGTGCGTGAAACGGCACGAGTGAGTGACATGCCGCCACGGAAAACGGCTATTCATCATTTTCCATGGTCGATTATCGTCCGAGTGACGTTGAAAAGCGCGTCGTTACTTACCGATCCGTCCTGTCCCGATGGCAGGTCGAGCGGTGTAAATGTCAAAACTTATGTCATCGGCGGTCGCGCCGAGTAACCGGAGTTTAGCGTTCACCGTATTCGGCATCGTCACGCGACGAAGCAGGGACGTTAATCGATCCATAAATTACACAGCGAGAGCTCGCTGAGGTGCGCTGATGAGCCCCGTCGCGTCGTCCGAATTTACGATAATAACAATCCGACAGACGCACGCTGACTCACATTTTCCGTCACCCGTTACTAATTGATAATTCATAAACATTCCGTCTGATCTTTACGGTGAGGAGATATTCAGGTAATTCACGGAGGAAACTTACGGATTATACACAATAAAGAATATTTTATACTTGTTGAAATCGGTCTTTATTAAAATTTTTGTGCTAAATTTTTAACATAGCCGTATGTTAATTTAACATATTGTGTTTGTTATCTCAATATTTTATATAGAATCGATATTCAACAGAATGCCTTTTTTTATTATGTTAATGATCTATATATTTTTTTTTAAAAAAGGCAAGTGCTTTTTTGTACAAGTCTTTAATATTTTTTTCAAATTATTTACGGTTATTTGGTGCACTTGGCTCCTTTTTTACCTTTCTTTTGGAAAGAGTAATTTTTTATAGATTAAATTTAACACAAAATTCTTTACTGAGTAATCATATCACGTGGCGATCTATATACGCGCTCTGTGACGTGCAATTAATTTTATATTTATACATTCGGGAGATTACTCGGTTCAAGCACCCACGCGATGAACACACCGATGATTCCGCAAATAAAATAACGATAAATCAACCTAGGCTTTAATAATTATCACCGTCCGCCTTCTCGTCGCGCGTATGCAAAGTACCGGTATACTAAAACAGGTAACTCGCCAGCGTTCGCCGACCCTTACGCAATGCATAATATCGCAGGCAGGAAAGGAACGGTAGAATTCAGGAATCCCCGAGTCCAGATTATGCGGCCGGTGTATGTGGATTCAACCTGGTCCTTAGTGTCCGAGCTAATGCGACGTTGTTGCGATGTAATGCGCGCATACGCGATAAACTCTACTTCCCGAGTTAATGCGGCACGTAAGGTAAACTCGGCGCTTACCAGCAATTTCCTCGCTCAGTCTACCTACCTGACTACCTAGCAACCTACCAAACTGCCTACCTACCTACCTAGCTGGCCGGTGCATACGTACATTGTATAGTAAATAACGCGTACCTACGAAATGTCGTCGAGTAAGTGGTATTCGCAATTTTCATTAAGCGCTCGTCGCCACGGGAGTCTCTCGAGCGCTTTGTTCTTTCGTCATCAACGCGCTCGACGCGCTCTGTGAGCCGAGCAGGCCCTAGTGAAATCTGCAAAAATTCACGCGTCCCCTGGCTCTTGCGCATTATAATTAATATATCAAATAAGATAATCGCTGGTAATCGCGAAGGCCGATCTGGCGTCGCGGCTCCGCGCGTATTCACTCGGATCCGATCGCCCCTGGGGTAGCGAATCCGGGCGTAATCGCATGGATTATCCTTTATCGACGATGAAATTGCAACGTCGGGCACACAAAGAGTCGTCACTTGCCATAATAATCTTCTGCTTCTTCGATTACTTCGTGATTGTATGCGCGGATCCTCAACCACATTCCTTGGCCGTTATTATGTTCGATTCATACGAATGATACTCTGCCAAGGTTCTCTCTTACCGTCAGACATTTTACGGGCCTTGGAACGACCGGCAAGGGTCCACGGTGGCTTTCGAAAGGATGAGGGACGGTTTCCTGCTGCGCTCCCTCTGCCATGCTATCGTTCGCAGGTTGCGCCGAAAACGAATGTGCCTGGATAAGCTTTTGCCTACACGGAAAAAATTAGTATCGATTCAAGATTTATACTCTCATGTATAAGCAGGAATAAACAATCTTATATGAAGATAAAACTTAAAAATATCATATTTT